AATTCTGATTTTTGAGGCTAAGAGAAAAAAAATGCTGGTATTTGCAGGAGTCGTCAAAAAATGTTTGCAACATGGACATTCATTTCGATTGGCAGGCGTGTGACTCAAGAGTGAAAATGTGCGTTTCGCCTGCGCGGTGACTCGATTTTGCTCTTCAAGGGTCAAGAAAAAAACATTAGAAATTTATGATTTTCAATCATCCGAATCATATCAGGGCGACATTCACTCTTCCAGTTTTTTCCTCTTCTCGACGCTAGCGGTGCCAGAGCGCTTGTGGCAATGCAGAAGCCACAGTCTGCAACAAGGCAGCGTTGTGACGCCATGTCCAGCTGTAGGCCCAAGTGTACCTTTTTTTGTACACGTTTTGGTTTTTTTTTGCGGAGCATCGACGGAGGTCGCCATTTTTTCAAGTGTTTCCATGTTCCATCCATTTGTCGGGTACCACCAACAATGGCTCTATAGGATTTATCCCACAAACGACCTCGAAAATGATAAGTCTTAGTCTTAGTAAAGATATTTTGTTTGTGGTTGACTTGGGCCAACTTGAACCTTTTGTGGGAATAATCCTTGACACAACTGACAGCATGTGCAACGTTTGCATCTTCCGTAACGTAAAGGAAGTGCTCGTCAGGGACGTTAATACACCCCCCACCCCCTGATGATCATACGACAGCATGCGCAACGTGTGCATCTTCCGTAACGTAAAGGAAGTGCTCGTCAAGAACGTTAATACCCCCATGTTAAAAATTCAAAAAAAATCAAATCCTATACCCCCATTTCCGCAAGCCTCATTTTTGAAATTTGCAACCTTTCCAAGGGATCGTAAATGGCACATCTCAAAATTGGCAACCCTTCCAAGGGCGCCGTATCAGCCGCATGCCAAAAACAACCTCTGGTAAACGAACTATATAGCTATAGAATCTATAGAAGATAGGCCATTTATATATAGATGATTTAAATATTGAAAATGCTGATTTTCCCATGCTTATGTTAGTTTACTGGATGCTCACTGGGGCACCAGGCAACACCAGTTCCATGCAGTTAAAGGCACCGAAAAATCCCACAAGAAAACGACTTGTAGCAACCCTGGAAAGTGATTATATAAATAAGGGTGAAAGCACACAGTAAACAATAAAAGGGGTTATATAAACAATGGAACGTACAAAATAAAAAGTATATAACCCCCCACAAAACATACATAATAAACAAACATACTGTAGTTTTTCGGTGTTTGTATCACAAAAGACCAGGTTTGCTTCTCTTGTCCAGAGCTTTGACTCGCAGCCGTGACCCAATCATTTACAATGGCACATCCAAAAAAGTATCTACACTGCTGCTTGGTGGTTGTATCATATATGCTTGGGATTTCTTGTGGGAAATCTGCTTAGTGGTTGATCTTGTGTGGTTGGTGGTTGACCTACCCCTCTGAAAAATATTAGTCAGTTGGGGTTATTATTCCCAATATATGGAAAAATAAAAATATTCCAAATCACCAACCAGGTATTATATATGTTTGGATATATTTGGTATTACTTACTTGGCTACGTCTAGGGAGCCAGAAACTCTGCCCCTGTCCAGCATCTTCCAGCGGTTTCCGGTCCTTCTGCAAACGCGTCTGAAAGCTGCAACGGAAAGCCTTGATGCGTTGGTCAGCTGGAAGACCTTTACCGAACTGCGGAAAAGTGTGCAAAACTCCTCATTTTAGTGATTTAATGGGACTTTATAGTGTTTACAGTAATGTGTGATGAATGGGATATACCTTCTGGTAATTTAACATAGCTATGAAAAAAGGCTCTGTTATAGAATTTTTGCCTGTTGAGAATGGTGCGTTGTTTTTTCCCCACATTTAGCTTTGTTAAATGACCTGAGAGTAAATGATGTTTTGATGGGAAAGGCATCTATAAACTGGTGATGGAATATTTACCTATGCTCCATGGTGCTGGAATATCTACCAATGTTTACCCAAAACCGTGAAGCCCGTAGGGGTACATGTTCTGAGAATTTTACTGCGACTAGATGATCAATTGTTTAAAGCACGCATTTAAAGATATACCATGATATGGTACACGGTACACTCCTATAGTCTATGGTTTTAAACACATGAAAAAGGACAAGCAACCAACGAAAGCCATATTTTCCGAGCATACATGTTGTCCTTAGCCAGGAGTTCCCCAAAAGTTTCCACTTAAGGTCAGTACGATCCACCGAGCCGGAGGAAGAGACACACAAAAAACGCTTGCCATGGAAGATCTGCAAGTTTTAAGGGGGGGCAAATATCCCAAATGTGAACACTATTTACCAATTTCTTTCACATGATGTTTTACCTTGGGCCGCCCAGGAAGCAATGGAGTGTGAGCCACACGTGAGCTTGAGATCGACCAGCTTCACAATCCACCAATCCCTCAAAACCTGGTTTCAATTCCTTCCTCGCCACCATTTATTTTGAGATCTGCCAGTGATGTTGTTTCAGTTACATACCCAACTCATTACCATCCAGTAATCAAACGTGGCAGTGGAAAAACTTGTAGATGTTTTATGCATTAAAACATACATTTACAGAGATGTTCACATTGCCGGTGGTTTAAACATCGAAAATGGTGGTTTAACCATCAAAAAATGTGTTTTATGTAACCATCAGCAATGCTGGTTTAACCATCACAAAAGGTGGTTTAAGCATCGCTTGATTACCAAAGGATATCTTATTCCCCACCTGCCAGGTGAGGGTTGTTAGATTTTATGTCAGTTGCCTCCTCGTCCTCCTCCTTCTCCTCCTCCTCCTTCTCCTCCGCCTCCTCCTGCCTCGTCCTCCTCTCCTCCTCCTCCTCGTCCTCCTCGTCGTCCTCGTCGTCCTCGTCGTCCTTGCTCAACTGCGACCCGCGATCCACAGTGTTCTCTGCCGGACCTCAACCACGACCATCCACGCCCAGTGTTCCCTGCCGGACCTCAACCACGACCATCCACGCCCAGTGTTCCCTGCCGGACCTCAACCACGACCATCCGCGCCCAGTGTTCCCTGCCGGACCTCAACCACGACCATCCGCGCCCAGTGTTCCCTGCCGGACCTCAACCACGACCATCCGCGCCCAGTGTTCCCTGCCGGACCTCAACCGCGAGTATCCACGCCAAGTGTTCCCTGCCGGACCTCATGTAGGAAGATAAAATGTCAGATAGAGTGCCAGAAGATTTGCCAGGTAGAATGCCAGAAAATATGCCAGAAGATATGCCAGATAGATATGCCAGAAGATATTCCAGAAGATATGCCAGATAGAATGCCAGATAGAATGCCAGAAGATATGTCAGAATATATGCCAGAAGATATGCCAGATAGAATGCCAGATAGAATGCCAGAAGATATGTCAGATAGAATGCCAGAAGATATGCCAGATAGAATGCCAGAAGATTTGCCAGATAGAATGCCAGAAGATATGCCAGAAGATATGCCAGATAGAATGCCAAATAGAATGTCAGAAGATATGTCAGATAGAATGCCAGAAGATGTGCCAGTAAGAACATGTATAAATGTCATGGTGGGGATCACACGAAGTAAAGTAATTTTTTGGTCCCACCATGTCCCATGGTACCGCAGATGCACCGAGGGACTGCAAGGAGACCCGTCAGCTCAATCTGCAGCGCGAAAACATGGACCTGGGCCGCGCAGATCATGTCAAAATCCATTGGATATCATGAGATATATAACCAGCTTGATATGATTCTGAGGTGGTGTATACATGATATAACATATTAACATGATATAACATGATATAACATATACATGTATACACAAACAATGACATACATTTGGTGCTTTCAACCGTTTCAACCTGAACAAAAAAAAGCAATGTTGACCATCCGAACGCGTTCGGATGGAAACTAGACCTGGTTGGTGGTTGACCTACCCCTCTGAAAAATATTAATCAGTTGGGTTACTATTCCCAAAATATGGAAAAGTAAAACATGTTCCAAACCACCAACCAGAGACACATATTTCTTCAAACACCAACTGGGCACTCAGTTGGAACTTCTTGATGGGACAAGCCGAGTAAAAACATCAATGGGGGAGAATCCATTACCAGGTTATAGTACCCGAGTTCTGCTTTTTGCTTTCCTCAGGAAATGACCTATAAATGGTGTACAGTTGAAGAAGGGACCACATATGTAGTTTTTATTTCCAATATGTATAGGGTTCATTAATAAATTGAAACACTTCAAAAATAAATGTTACGCTAAATTTACCAAGGAATTGTAAGAGGATATGTAGGATTCGATGTTTTGGCATCTTTGTGGGGGTTGCTACAAGCCAATGTTTTTTTTAGCGGATGGTACATGTCAAACTGTTTCACTACATATATATATATTATTATTATTATTATTATATATATATATTATATATGATACGTATATCTCAATACTAATATATACATACTTCGAAACGTTGCAAAAACCAATTGTAACCAAATGTTTACATATTGTCCTTGCATGATATAATATATTTGCGAATATTCATCCCCAAAATGATCCAATGTAAAACGGTAAATACACCATACACGGTCTCGGTTGGCAGAGGCCGAATTGATTTCCCTTGGTTGTGTGGACTCATCAAATGCCATCAACTGGGAGTTTTTACACATGTTTTAGAGTACGGCGTTTATTACAGGGTTGCTTCCAGCACCCCAGATATAAAGGGGGGGAAACTGGGTTTACCTACAATGGATTGGAACAATCCTCATCAATCCTCTATTCTGGGCGAATCTTACCCGCCACCAACCGCCACTGGAAAGAGGATTTTTTCAGCATTTTTGGTCACCATCTAGGGGTTGACTGAGGTACCCCACACAAACCCGCTTGGCAAACTTTGTACCTGATCCAGGACCAACAGTGCCGACCTTCAACTGTCAATCCAGGATCATGATTCCAAATTGTGACAGAACTAAAAAGTGATGAACATATTCAAAAAAACACCAAAAACAATTGTTTGTTGATTGCTAGGTATTCCCATAAAGGATATGTTACGTAGGTAATTCCTAGCAAATCCTCAAGGCGCATAAAACAACAAGGTGTTTGCTAGCAAATTAACCAACAACCCACATTAAAGCATATGCATAATATTTCTAAGTGGGGATAAACATGTGTGGCGCTGGTAAACAAATCAGCTGGGGATTTACCATAATTTTTGAATACATGCGGTTGGTTGTTCCATGTCAATGTCGTGCATTCACAAGGCAGGCCTTACTGGACTTTATATAGATAGACATTGATAAATTATACGCTAAACCCTTTACAAAACAACATTTTCCGGAACCACCTACAGCATCCTAATCTCACAGTCTTAAAATACGTACTTGAACAATGTCAAAAACTGATTGAAAAATCCAATCAGTTTGTTCTTCGGGTTTCCCACCATGGATAATTATGAAATTATGATCATTCCGTTTGTACTACCCATTAGACCCCCAAAACTCACCAACCGCTTGTTGAAAACTGTTCCCGCAACATCACGCAATTTCATCCTTTGTAGTGTACGCGCACCTCGGCAATCAAACAACACCCACAGTCACCAGTCGAAACGCACATGGACATTTCACAAGAGTCATTTTATGTGAAAATTTACGGGGAAAATGCCCTACGCTTCAACCGTGACACCCGTTTCATGCGAGCTTGCGCAGTCGAAATGCACTTGGACATTTCACAAGAGTCATTTTATGTGGAAATTTACAGGGAAAATGCCCTACGCTTCAACCGTGACACCCGTTTCATGCGAGCTTGCGCAGTCGAAATGCACATGGACATTTCACAAGAGCCATTTTATGCAGAAATTTACAGGGAATTGGCCGGACACGGATGATACCACCTCGAATGAACATCGGGCCTTAACACTTACCGTAAGAACCCCTCAGTGTGGCCACACTGTTTAAGGAAATAGAGAAAGGATATGCCTAGTTGGTTGTGGCAAATTTGGAACCAGGAACAGCTGGTACATTGCGTCTGAACTGAATCTGATCAGATGCAAACCCCAAAAAATCACAAACACAGCTGCACTTTTTGATTGCTTGTGGTGCCATGCTTGTCTGCTTCTCATCTGTTTCGCAGATAGTGGACAGATGCCACACATATATACAAATTTTCCGCAGCAGAAGATCCTGGGTTTGGCCAAGCTCCTCAGAAGAAAAGGGTTCCACAACGTCTTCAAAAATCCATGGGGCTGCTTGACCCGCTCTCCTCTTCTGAGAGGAAGTCTTGTTCTTCGAAGGACGTCAACAACTGGTTGTGGCTCAGATGGTTCTGCAAGGCTTCGCCGTTCACTTCTGCATGACGCCACCAGGGGAGCAATGTGTCCGGGAGGTCGTGGTCGAATCCTTCCAGCGCCAAAGTCCACCAGGAGGGGGGTCTGCAAGGTTTTGGCGCCTAGATCTGCGCCGCTCATCAAAGTGAAGGTGGCACGAATGCCGGGCGGATCTGCTGTGAGCACACAGCTCACGATCGTTGGGGCATATCGGGGTGCCGGCTCCTTCACCATAATGAGCTTTGTTCCAGGCCTATCTTCCCAAATTTTAATCCACCTTTCTCCGAAGCGCGTGTCCGCCACGAAGCAACTGAGGTTTCGCCAATTTGCTTAAACTCGGGCCCCTATAGATCCAAGTTCTGGCAACGGCAATTTCACAAAGGATGTGATCCGACTGGTCTTTGGAAGCCATGGCTCATTTTGCTCGTTGATTTGCCGTTCTTAAATTTTTGGTGTTATTCCAGCTCGCAAACTGTTAAATTTCCAAAGGGTATCCCATCAAGTGGATTACAATCCCATTACAGTTGATAATCCCATTATAGGCGGTGATAAGCTCGTGTTCATGTTTCCCATTATATCCATCAGAATTGTCCAATTCGTAGATGAAAATGAGTACCCCGCGACACCAGCTCGCCTAAGATCAGGGATTGTATCACAGCCTCGGCGCTTTTTCAACACGACACGACACGGCGAGCGCCAAACTTGGAGAGTTTCTCTTGTTGAATGCTGAGATCCCCAGCTGAAAGTTGTTTTGTTTGTGTAGCTTTTCATAGCTCTTCATAGTTTGCAGCTTGACATCTTTTTTTATAATGAGATTAATTTGTTCCTGAGGCTGTTTTCCTAAGGGTGACCACGGTGTGTTCTGACACCCCATGCTTTATCACCGTATTCCCTACAAAATGTCCCTCGAAGTTGTATGTTGGTTTATAACCCCCATGAACTCCAGTTGTAAGTATTATAAACATTGATAAACCATAGCTATTGGAGTTATGTTCACCAACTTAGCTATCCTTTGGGGGCCCCACTTTGTAGATTCATCTCAATCAAAATCCAACAGTTCTTATTTATTAGGGTTATGTTCCCCAACTTGTGCATCGTGGGGGCCGCAGGGGCCCCCAATTCATGAATACACCCAACACTAAACGATGGTTTCGTTTGCAGGGTATAACTGCATGATATTACCGGGGAAGGGATGATTTCTATGTACCCCAAACTGGACACAGCCAACATGGATGATTCAATACCTACAGCAACGAGTCCATGTGCGGGTCCATGGGTACAAAGTGGGTCCCCCACAGTTATGAGTTGGATGAAGTTGGCTTATAAATCCCATTGACTACAGTTTTACATAGTTTTCAATTTGGCAGTGTGTCAAAACCTTGTACCCCTGGTGAACATCAAAATAGCTGGTAAATGGATGTTCATTCCCCTAAAAATGGTATTAATAGGTATTGATCCATACCCAGTTTTCAATTTCCCAAAAAAACAAAAAAAGGGTGGCGCCCCCCAGTGATAGGCTGGTTGAGAACCCCCATGAACTAGTTTGATATATCTACCATAAACCCAACAGTGAAATTGGGGTCATGTTCACCAACTTCGCTATCATAAATCAGCTATCAATCCCATCAAATCATCATGGTTGGTGGGTTTAATCCCATAGATTCCCAAAAATCCCAGAGAAAATCACTTTCAGCAAATCTAAGATAGCTACTGGTTGGTGGTTTCAACCCCTCTGAAAATTTTAGTTAGTTGGGATGATTATTCCCAATACATGGAAAAATAAAAAATGTTCCTAACCACCAACCAGTCAGCAAATCTAAGGCTTGCTATATCAAATCCCATGAATCCCTATAAAAGCCCCATAAAATCCCCATGAAATCCCCCTTCACTCGGCTCGCCCAGCGGCCAACAGGCCCTCCATGTGTCGGCCGTCTCCGGAGAGCGCCACGTGAACATCTCGTGCCTGGCGCCACGTGGCGCCACGGTGCCGGGGACGGCCGGGGACCAAGGTCGGGAGATATATCAAACTAAATCAAATATCTATCAAACATCATGGGATTATGGGATAATCTCCAGTAAATTAACAGTTCGACAGATGGTTGGGAAACTCCTAGTAGCTCCTTAGCTCCACATTGAAAGGGGAATATTAGGGAATTTGGATACCCATAGCTCCTTAGCTCCCTCCAAACCACTGGATAGAACATCGTGGGATTATGGTTATACCCTCCAGTAAATTAACACTTCGACCCTGCCAGATAGGGGTTGGAAGATTAAGTTCCACCAAAAATTGGTTATTTTCAGGGTCTATGTTAATTTACCAGATGGTACCATTTATCATCAAATGACTCACACACACACAGTAGTTCTACATGCGCTCCTTTATGCGAGCAGCCATGAGGGTCATGCCACTTGGGACAACAATGACAGGATGGGAACGATCAAAAGGGAAGTTAGGATGCTACTTGCGAGAAGAACCCTGGTAAGCCCCCCTCTTGCAAAAGGAATCCAATGACGCAATGGTCCTTTCAGTAGATATCAACAGAAGTCGTCCTTCCAGTTTACCATTCATTAAATAGGACAAGGAACTACATGCGTCCCACCTCCTCTATTGTTGGAAGAATGAAGTACCCTGGACACTACCCAGAAATTCGGAATGGTATGACTATGGGATACTAATCTATACTTGGGATAACCATAGTTTTCTGGAATCACTTCCTCTATGTTTGGTATACTTGGATAATAACAGCCATGGGAAACATAGAGGGGATGACTATGGGATAGTAATATGGGATGGTATTTTTTCATCATCTATATCACTTGTACCATTAGTCATGATGAGGAATGGGATAATTATGGGATAATAGTCTATACTTGGGAAACTGGTATACCATGTATGATGGATTATTAAAGGAATGTAAACCATCACCATAAAAGTCAGTATACCAGTCATTTACTTATTCATGATGGGATAGTGATAGTAATGATGGGATGAATACGGATTTATCAACAGATGAGTAATGATGAAGAATGGTATGACTATGGGATAATCTACTCTATAAATTGGGATAATTACCCTCTGGTAAATAAACATAGAGCCTGAAAATCACCCATTTTTAATGGAAACATTCGTCTTCCAACCCCGACAACTGCCAGGGTCGAAGTGTTAATTTACCAGAGGGTATAGTCTTGTTTGTCTATGTTTCGTACATTGGGATAATGATGGCCGTGGGAGACATGATGGGATAACTACGGGATAGCAATATGGGATGGGATAATTATCATTTACCCTCTGGTGACCTAACATAGCAATGGAAAATGGCCATTTATAGTGGATTTTCCCATGAAAAATGGTGATTTTCCATTGCTATGTTAGTTTACCAGAGGGTATACCATAATATAATGATCGGGGATGGGATTATCATGGGATAATGGGACAATGATGGGATCATGATGATGGGATATACCATTTGTTGATGAATTGGTGTAATGGACAATCTACCGGAAACCCGGGCTTTTAGCAAAAAAAATCTGGCGGCTTTCTTTAACTGCTCCAATCCGTTTTTCTTGGACGGTGAATCCATCCATAGTTGGACCCATCTTAGCTGGTTGTAAACCAACTTGCCCACTTACCAATGGACAATCCATCATACATTACTATTCTTGTTGGTCAAATCTCCGTTCTTGTTGGGTAGAAAAAACATGTGTGTGCCTAGATTGTTGGTGAAATACACATCCTGTTGGCTGAATCTACATGTGTGTACATGTTTGTTGGTCAACTATCCATGTGTGTTGGTGACATATGATGACATGAGTCAAAACCCTGGCATCCTACCCTGTAGCTGGTGGATGGTTGATGATTCACCCTTTTAAATGGCAATAACAGGTTTTTCTCCCCGTATCTTAACTGCTTGGTGGTTTCAACCTACCCCTCTGAAAAATATGAGTTCGTCAGTTGGGATGATGAAATTCCCACTATATGGGAAAATAAAACATGTTCCAAACCACCAACCAGTTAATGTTACTGGAGCTTCTTAACCATTCTTAATCCATGATTCTGCCCATTTCTGCAGATTTTTGGAGATTTCCAATCCATGAGGGTACCCCCAGTTCTCATCCATGTGATTTTCGGATTTACAAAAAAAAACATTCCAATATTTGGGGTACCCCCATCTATGGAAACCCTCATATCCCATGTTCTCTTGGACAACACCACCTTTTTCGCTCGGAAGAAGCGAGCCACACCTCACAGCTACGAGACTCCGTGGGTTCCATGGGCTCGGGGCCAAGTTCTGCCTGACAGAGGGCTAGTCAGATATATCGTATCAAATCAGATCATTATAATATATAATAATATATATATATATCTTATATTATATATCATATATATATATATCATATATATACATATCTTATATATATATTATATATATATCTTATATTATATATCTTATATTATATATTATATATATATTATATATAGATATCTTATATATATATATATATCATATATTATATATTATATATATACGCATTATATCTTATATATATATGTCTTATATATATATATATATGTCTTACATATATATATATATATATGTATGTCTTATATATAGAAAAAATATATATTGGTCTTATACATATATATGTTCTATTGTGTATAAATATATATATATATGTCAATGTTGTAAAATACTATATATATATATTGATATATATATATATATAACATGTTTACACCACAAATTATTGGAGATTAATATATTTGAATTTGAATATATGTTTAATATGGCATGTGATTGCTTTTTCAACATTAAAAACCAACGATTCGAACAAGGTGATGCGGTTTTTTTACGTTAAGTTTGTTGGCTTAAAGACCTCATGAAAACTCGTTGGATATATCCTCTGGTAAACTAACATAGCTATGGAAAATCACTACTTTTAATGGGAAAATCAACTATAAATCACCATTTTCAATAGCTAAGTTTACCAGAGGGTATCTACTCCATATCTGGGTTTGTCTTAACAAATAAGATATCCGTAAAACCCTGCTGGTTGATCATCATTAATCTTCCCATCAAAATTTGCTATTTAAATCTATTTAAGGCTATACCCTAGACAAGCCCATTTTTTCAGCACTCACTGGGACGACCGTCGCTGAAAAAGCACTGAACCACAGGTTTGGGTCGGCTTGTGTCTTGAACCATGCAATTTCGGGCTTCCCAACTTTGATATGTTTGACACCTGCACACCCTGATGTCCGCTGTCATCACTTTTTTAGCACCACTTCCTCATCTGCCAACGGTTTTCAAGCTTCTGACCAAAATTTGCAACATTGAAATCTTTCAGTCTCCTTCAAATATTTCAACAGAATTACCTCTTCAGCCCATTGAAATCAGAATGTAAATCAATCATATTCAGCCCGTACCAGTCATTCTAGGTACTTTCTTCCTCCTATCCCATGGCGTCATGGACTGTGCTGGTGATTGTTCTCGATGGCCAAATGCAGAGCCGTTTTTCCATCGTCATTTCTTCCTCAGTGGATTGGATATCCCTCCCACAGGCAAGCTTTGGGTGATTTTGGAGGTGGACGTTGGTTGAAAGACCACAGCAGTTGGACCTTTTGAAAGTTCAACCTTTTCTGGTTGGTGGTTTCAACCTACCCCTCTGAAAAATGATGGAGTGAGTTCGTCAGTTGGGATGTTATTCCATTCCCAAATGAATGGAAAAATAACACATGTTCCAAACCACCAACCAGTTTTAGTTGATGATTAATGATTAGTGGCTCAAAATCATGGATCTCAGTGGGTCCAAATACTGCCTCAGAAGGTACGGCTAGATCCATAAGTGACATGAAGCAACGTTGGCCCTCTGGCAATGGTAAGAAAAGCAATGCGGTAGACAAATCCGAAAAACTACCGGAACTTTCCAGGTTAGATTGGAGGGTTGTAAGTCAAATTTAATACCACCCAGACTCTGTGAAGATCTGCGCCCGCGTTAACGAGCAAGCGAACACTTTCAATGAGACCGTAATCAGCTGCACGATGCAAAGGTGTAATCCCACTTTCTTGGGTGGGCTGATCAAACTTGGCACCAGCTTCAATCAGAAAGCGGACAATCTCGAGACGGTCTTGTTCAACAGCGTTATGCATCAGTGTAAATCCATTCCGGCCCTGACCCTCGTAATCATCTGAAATTTGCAGATCCGTGTTGGCCCCAAAGTTCAACCAGCAATTTTAACATGTCAAGATGGCCTTCAGAGGCAGCAAAATGCATGGGAGTTTTCCCATGCAAGTCCGGCTGATCCTTGTTGGACCCAGCTTCAACCAGAAACCGGACAATCTCGAGATGATTGTTATGAGCGGCATAATGTAGTGGGGTTATTTCGTCGTGTAGGGTCGGCTGATCTTTGTTGGCCCCGGCTTCAGACAGAAAGTAAACACACTGGACATGCCCCTGCCATGCTGCGACACAGAAGGGGGTCATCCCCAAATGTTTGGTGCCTCAATCTCTGCACCTGCCTCAAGCAACAGCCGTTGCTAGGGCCCAACGTGTCCCTGGTGTGCAGCATGGTGCAGCGGCTTCGAACCATTCTCATCGGCCACATCTGGATTCAAAGGCTTTCTCAGCAGATCTTCCAGCGAAAGCGAATCGTTATCTCTACAGAGGGAGGTAATCTGATCATATTCAGCAGAGGTAAGAAATCCAAGACCACCAAGTAGACCTTCAAAGGAGCCGGAGCAAACACCTCATCATCCGGAATCTCAGTACCACCTTCCAGGAAGAGTCTTTGTCTGAATCTCGTGGCACCAACCTTGCCTGACAGAGTTTGCTTTATTGTTTTTGCGTTTTTTTCCATCAACTGCATCCTGGTCAAGCACTGTCAACTTCTCGCCCGATGCTAGGAAGCACACCTCCATTGCGCCAGTCTGATGTCTGAAATGCAGGAAAACTGTACACAATGGTACATTAATGGGCCATTAATGGGTCATTCTACTACCATTTACTAATGGGTATGGATTAATGGCTACTTACCACTTATCAATGGGTCATTTTACTCCTTTACTCCTAGACGGCTAAACAAACCCCCTCGCCAGGAACTTCTGCATTGGCCATCCAGTACCCTCTGGTAAACGAACATACGGTGGATGGTTGCGAAATCCGAATCACCAGTTGGTAGGTGGTAAACATCCCATTATTTATAGGGTTTCAACCATCCAAGGTGATGCAGGATTTCGCAACCATCCACAGTAGCTATTGAAAATCACCATTTTTAATGGGTGAATCAACTATTTCTATGGCAATTTTCAATAGCGATGTCAATTTACCAGAGGGTCTTACCTGATTTGATTGAACATCATCTGGCATTTTCGGATTGTTCCCATCAATATTTTGAATTTCAGAAACTCCTCGGGAGGCCTGTCCTTGAGAAAAAATCCTCAGGATCAGCTCATGGGCTAAGCCAAGTTTTTCAAACCCAGTCATGTACCAATGATACTGTGGTGACTTTGTAGTAAAATATAGCACATAACGATAGCATGTAGCTATAAACCAAGATGTACTATATATATGGATCTATATATATATGATTCATCATGATTAAACAACTAATGCTATAATTGGTACATACAACAAATAACATCAGATTCCACTTCAAAGAATCAACGAATCCCATTTTTGACTGAGATATTAGAGAACCTCCAAGGCATTTCAAGGCTTTCACCTCCGAAGGTTACCATGGTGGATGTGGGGTTTACAAAGATTGGGGGTCCCCAAAATGGATCAAAATGGATGGTTTAGAATGGAACATCCCATGAGAATGGATGATTTGGGTGTACCCCCCATTTTAGGAAACCTCCGCTTATTTGGGACCATAAATGGGGCTGTTGAATATGAATGGGGAATTGGATTCTATGATATCATCATGTTTTATCCCTGCTTCTTTTCGCAATGCCGCAATGCTGTTCACATGCGATCAATCACCCCCGTTGCCATAAAGTATGCCAACCTTTTCTGGTGGTATTATGTGAGGCATTTGTTCAATGATTACAGCAATGTTAGTAAAGCAATAGCAAACCATCAAAATATGGCTGGTTTACCAACATTGACGGTTCTCTCAAATTGAACATCTCAAGCTGCTCTCAAATCTTATGGGAAGCTAACATTGAAACCCCCCAAAAGTCCAGTTTCTCGCCTTGGAAGATGAATAAATTCTTCTACTGCATTGGGTCATTTGGATCCAAAACTGCGTTGTCCCCTAAATATGGTAATTGTATGTAATTATCCCACTCCATCCACTGGTAAATCATCATGTTCCCCAAAACAAATGCTGAAACAATTGGGTCTACTAGCAATTTTTAGACTCATGTAGGTAAAACCATGCCATACACCACCCATGACTGGGAATGGTCAGTTTATACCTATAAAAATGCTTATGACTGGGGATGGTGCAAATGGCATTGTTCCCACATGAACCCATTTTGGTGTTTCCCTGCCGCCTCCTGTTCGAAAACAGCTCTCGCAGGTTTCGTTCGCGGACTTCCGTGTAGCTGCCTGGTGGGCCCCTCAGAGATGTGGTTTCAACCTGTAGCCTCTGGTAAACAAACAAAAAGCTATGGAAAATGGCCATTTATGGTATTTATAGCTATAGAATCTACAGAAGATAGGCCATTTATAGATGATTTACCGATTAAAAATGGTGATTTTCCAAAGTTATGTTAGTTTACTAAAGGGTAAACAAACATTGTTGCCATGCAACCTGTTCGATTTTCAGGGGAAGAATACACCACAAATACATCATCAAAGGCCTTCAATATGCCCCCTTGTGGCTACCATTTCCCATGGGCTAGAGCAAGCCTGATTTTATAGCTATATCATGATATGGTAAAACCTGAAAACAAGGGACTTATTATAATAGGATTTAACTGATTTAACCTTCAAATATGATTATTGTATATTATGTACTGATTCAAACAAAGGTAGTATGGATCCTATGTGCATCTCAATATAGGGAATACTCCCAATACTATCCGGAAGTGTACTGCAATTTTCATGGGACATACATGATAACCCCGGACACTGCAAAACCTCATCCAATTCATATGCTTGAAAACGAACATTAATATAGGCTTGTCTGAAAATAGTGTCCTCCTTTGAACCCAATGGTTAAGCATCATTTGATTTTCCCTACTAAATGCCTATAATTGGAGGTATACCCCATGTCCAAACATGCCTTGCTGACACTACTCACTAGCGTACCACCTGTCAGCCCTGCGTTTCCTACTCAGCAGTTGGAGTTGAAATTCATCCGGGGTTGGGACCTGGTTGGTGGCGCAATAACCATCTAGAAAAACATGAAAGTCAATGGGAAGGATTATCCCATATATGAAATGGGAAATATAAAATGTTCCAAACCAGCAACCAGGTACTATCTATGTTTGCTTGTCACATTTCATGATTAAGTTCATTTTATGATTAAGTCCAGGTCGAATCCCCATGTATTGATGCTAAAACTAAATCTCATCAAAAATTGAATTGTTTTCTGGATGTGCAAGAACTAAGTGCTTGGTTCTTAAAACTTGACCACATATAGATTAAGATAGTGATATGTGATGATACCCTCTGGTAAACTAACATAACTATGGAAAATCACCATTTTTACTGGGAAAACTCACTATTTCTATGGCCATTTTCAATAGCTATGTTAGTTTATATGTGATGATACATAGTGAGCATCTGATCAACCAGCGAAATTGGGGATTCAACGATTCCGATTCCTGGTGATTTTTGAGTCGCAAAACGAGCTGCGACTGGTTGAAAACCCCGAAGCTTGGGACAACGTATGTTGGGAGCTTTCCTGAAATAGGGCTAGCCCTAAATATTAAATCCTCCAAATTTTTGCTTGGGATTTTTAAGTAAACCATCCAGTGGCTCGCGAGGACGGTACCCCCATGGCTATGGAAAACCCCAGATCTGAAGTCGTCAACGAGCGGCTCGGACGAGTTTCGAGTAGCTTCACCCTCCCCGAACCGTGGGCGAACCGTGGGATTGTTTTGACCATTTTCCTGTGAAGATGTTCCCTGAAAAAACAACCAATTTGCTGCTGGACTAGCCACGAATCGCGTTTGTAGCTCAGTTCACTCACTTTCACTCACTTTCACTCAGTTCCGATTGAATTATAGATTAAAATCAGATTTAGTATAAACGATTTGGTGAACCAACCACCAAGTATAAACACCTCATTAAAATCCGATGACTTGGTGGTTCATCCCAGGAATCCTAGGTGCCTTGCTCCTTCTGGATGGTGAAGCGCTGCCACCTCAGCACCGGCGGGACTGGAAGCCGGGAGGAATACGTGAATGAAACATTGTGTGATGTATAATGATGTATATGTAATGATGTGTATCTAAAATCTAATATTTAACTTATATATATATATACTATAATTATCTATAATTCATATTATATCATGTATATACACATATATTTATATGCGCATACTATCAAATGCTGGGGTGTAGGAATTCACTGATATTGGGTGCTTGAGTCACCGGATTGAACACATTTGGCCATCACTCGGATGAAGTCCATGAAGTGGCATAGACAGCTACTCCATCCGTTGGTTTTCCAACGAAAACATGACCATTTTCCCAAAAATCAGTTCATTGCCAATGTTTGATACTTTGCAAAAATCAAACGCTGGCGAAGTAAGTATATACATGTGTATATATATATATATGTATATTATATATATATGTATCTGCATATATAAATACGTATACAGTATTATATATATACATAAATATGTATATATATATATCATATAACATTGTATCTCCATCCAAAGGGCACAATGCCCAACCGTTGTTTTCTTTCCAAATCGACAGCCCAGTCGCAGGTCTCAGAGTAGGCGACACATACCTTGGATCTTGGATCCAGGCGACTGTAACGCTGGTTTAAGCAACGGTTTTTTCTTAGGACATCATGGGATTTAAAATGATTTCACGTGATTTAACTGCTTTTTTAATGGGATTTAATGGTGCTTTACCCTCTGGAAAATAAATCATCATGTTTGATAGGCAAATCATGCATAAATGGGCAAACGAGTGGAAATGCAGATTAAACCAGTGAAACTGATGGTTTGTCTGAAAATGGGGAGGGTCAACAGAAATGAGGGAAGCCAACCAGTTTATGGAGATAAATTGGAGATATACAGTAAATGGGATGTATAACCACCAAGGCCAAGGCACCTGATCTCGGTCTGACTAGTTGTGCCCATAACATATCATGGATTCAATGGGAAAAAGGATGACCGACCATCAAATTGAAGGCTCCGACTTTGTCAAACAAAGCCATGTGATTTCTTTTGGGCTCAACGTGGCAGACGGATCGCAACTGGTTGGCAACTGGAGTTACAACCCAAATACTAATGGAACACGCCTATTTAGTGATTGATGACCTGTTTAAAGATAAAATTGATGCGGTGTTTTTCCAAAACAACTCAAGTATTTGAAATGACATATGATGACATACGACATAATCAATCAACATGCTAAAAACCAGATTCCATTCAAAATGACTTAAATAACGATCCCTATATCTCTACTGGTATCTCTACTATATCTATAATCGGCAATAGACTTTTCATATATCCATCATATTTGTTGCCATGTTCAACCCCAAAGCTCAAAGATTTTTTCATCCGATTTTCCCGGGTCCATGAAAATCAGCGGTTTTGGAGGTTACCATCTGGTTATGACTAACAGTTCGCGATGGAAAATCACCACCATGCTATTGTATAATAGGTAAACCATGGTAAACCATCTATTTCTATGGGCCATGGCTCTACCATGGCGAACTGTTAGTCATAACCAGAGGGTAAGTCCCCATGAAATCCCCATTTATCTGTTGGTGAAATACCATGAAATCACCAGGATAACCCAGTGACTCCGGCGGCACGCGAAGCTTCTCGGAGGGAAGCTGTACCCTGCCGTCCGCCTGAGAACGACATCATGGGATATGTCCCAACCACACATGGTATTTTCATTGGGTAGATAATGGGAATAAAATGGAATATCTAGCTAACGACCTTTGTTATTTCGGATTCTGAGCGACAAACTTAGTGATTTAATATGATTTGATGGCATATCATGGGGATACAATTGGATGTATAACCAACAATATGGTATGGGGATACCGTCCGGTGTCATCAAACCTGGAGATGTTCCAATCAGAAATCCCAGAACTAAATAAACAGACATTTAAGCGGGACAATCATTGAACTATTGCTGGGGGATTTCTCAGCAAGCCATGGTTGATTACGTTGATTACCAGTTGAAGTTAATAACCATGGTTAATGGGGAGATGAATATGTAGATATATATGAATGGAACAATCATGTATCGATGGGGACGAATTATATATATATGTATATATGTATATATACATACATATATATATATATATGTATATGTATATATATATATACATAAAGGATACTAAAGTATGTGAAGTGACCAAAACTTACCTAGCAAGTGGTTAATAGGTTAATAACCACAAGAATAATCCATTCAAAGATGGGATCTGCAGATAGGCTCAGTTGGGTCACCATGAGCTGACTGGGAAATCCCTAGCCGGCCATGGGTTGTTTTGGTTCGCTGGGAAACTCAACGAAATATATTTTGAAATGGGAGATTATAAACAGTACATATATATATATATATCATATATTATATCATATTATATCATATATTATATCATATTATATCATATTATATCATATTATATCATATTATATCATATTATATCATATTATATCATATCTCATATTATAACATTTTATATCATCACATATCATATATATATATTATATATATATATATCATTAATATCCACTTATCCACTTGTAACCAGAACCCCCATGTACAAGCCAAGCCGTAGCCAAGTACTGGGAGAGAGTGTGCCAAGTTTTCGAGATTGAAATTACCGACCATAGAAAAGACTCAAAAATTGGGGGTTCCTAAGTCATAGGGGTACCCCCAGGTTAGTAGGATTTTCCCTAGCAAAAAGCATCCAGCTATTGGGTACCCCCTTATGGAACCACCTAAAAATAGGGAAAAAATACAAGGATTCACCAACCCTGACAAGTTTGGGGGTGATTCCCCAACCGTATACTCAACATCATATTCCATATTCGGTGACGTTGCGGAGAAGTCTGTCTAATTCACCTTGAATTGTTGATTGCATCTACCCTCTGTTAAACTAACATCTATTGAAAATGGCCATTTATAGTTGATTTACCCATTAAAAATGATGATTTTCCATAGTTATGTTAGTTTACCAGAGGGTATCATATGGTTGGGAAACTCTATCTAGCTCCTTTGCTCCCCACATAGCTCGGAACCCATCCCTTCTGCGTCCAAATAGTTAAACCTCCACTATATCAGGACTAAATCATACTAAATCATGATATCACGGCAAAAAAGTGTTTCCATGTTAGTACAGTTGATACATTTCCTCATATTTCATCATATTTCCAGGTGTCCAAAATTTGGCTGGTAGACTTCAAGAACTCCTACAAGTATTCTCGTACAGGACCTTGGCACCTTGGCTTCGAGGTCTCTTCACATGCTATCGGATGAGCTGGCTCAAACAGTTGGCGTCCATCTGATTCAATTGCCAACACGCGACTGTTGCTACCTGTGACTTCCAATGTATGCCAAAAACAGTCAGCCTTTCTTTGCAAAATCATCTTTTCACATGAGCCACTCAAAATCCTCTCATTATACCCCATAGGATCCATGGTGCTGGTATATATGCTAACATCAATGGGGCTGACATTGATGGGATCCATGTTATCATAGCAGCACCATGGATCCTATGGCTACTGCTTGCAAACGGCTTCCCTACTTTGGCGTATCATCATTCCCCCGCCGCTATTTCGAACGCGCACCTCCACACGTCGCAAGAGTCCCCAGAAGGGCCACAGCGACAACATCTGCTCGAAGATCGTCACGTTACGTCCAACCTCGACCGGTGGCGGCCCATCAACGTTGCGCCCAACCGTTGAAGAACTTGCGTTTTGATGATTGGGGTATATCCCATTTCGAGACGCGCCAAAAGTCTCAAGTCGATCATATATATATATTATAGATATATAATATATATATCCATATCTTATATTCATGTATATTCTCCATTTTATCTCTATGATATTCCACGTCCTATGACATATCGCCAGATCGCCATGGTATACAAGGTGGGGCTCCACCTTTCAAGGGGTAATTGCTACACGAAATCACCATTTGTTGGTTAAATCCCATTAACATCCCATTAAATCACCATTATGATATTCCCCATAGATTCCCATTAAATCCCACAAACAATATCAAAAAATCACCATTTGATGTTCCTTAAATCCCATTAAAGTCCCACTCAAATCCTGCAAGTATAAATTCCCATCCAAATCCCATTAAATCCCATGAAAAATGAGATTGGTACCTGAAAAATCACCAAGTTCCATGCAAATTCCCATGGAACTCCTCCATTTCTGTTTTTTTTCCATGGTTAAGCCGCTTAAGCCTCGTCACAGCACAGCGATCCAACTGCGCTTCGCCCAGGGCCATGAAGTCCTTGGAGGCCTAGGCAGGGCCACGCCAAGCTGCGCTTCTGAAGGGTGGAAACTTTCACCCATGGAGGGAACATGGTGGATTTAATGGGTGATTTAATGGGATTTAATGGGATGTAATGAAATTGTATGGTGATTTTATGGGACTTTATAGTGATTTAATGGATTATGAATGGGATATACCCTCTGGTAAACTAACCTTTTCTGGAGTTTTGCTATTGAAAATGGCCATGGAGATAGTTGATTTGCCCCAGAGGGTAATTGGGAGAAATGGTGATCTAACATGATTTAATGGAGGACGCATGCTGATTACCGTGGTTTGACTGGGAAAAAATGTGATTTAACATGGTTTAAAGGAACAATGGTGAGTTTGCCCTCAAATATGATTAATTTGATACATAGTGAATGGGACAATCCACTCTAACTGCTGTTTTAATGGGAAACGAAACTGATCTATACATAGTGGGTTTTCTCTCTGGTAATTTAACGTAGCTATGGATAATCACCATTATTACTAGGTAAATCATCATTTCAATCATCTATTTCTATGGGCCAGCTATACCATAGCTATGTTAAATAACCAAAGGGTACGCGATGTTCTCATCAACAAATGAAAATTCACCAGCAAGAATTAGTTTAACAATCAACAAGTGTGATTGATGCTACAAATGGATGACTTAATCAGCAATTTCATTCAATTTCAGCGATTTGACTAGCCACAAGGGCAATTCTTGCACCGCAAAAAAAAGGCGGTAGACCAGTTGAACCAGCAAAACTAGAGCTTTGACCAGTTGAACCAGCGATTTCAACATCAAACATGCTGAGTTTGGCATCAAAGAAACCAGCTGGCCTAACTCTAGGGCCGTTAGTCTCACCGTTAGTCTCGTGTGGCCTTCCGCGATCTCAAGGGATGACCCAACAACCACTATGAGATCCTCGTTGGCCGTTCGCCGGTTTGGATGCCCCGTTCTCTTCACAGCAGCCATTGTTGAAGTTGGCACAGGACCATTGTCGAAGTTGGAACTCTTGGAACTCCCAAAATCCCATGGCTTGGAAAGTCAACAATTTACGCGGTATGAATTGATGTCAACAGTATCAAACTGGTTGGTGGTTGACCTACCCCTCTGAAAAATATGCTCGTCAGTTGGGATGATTATTCCCAATACTTGTATCTGGAAAAATAAAACATGATCCAAACCACCAATCAGCAAATGTCGAGAGAAAACTCTGGGAAACGGGGTTTCAACGTCATTTCACTTCGCATTTCGCATATTGATTTGGCGATTTTCGCAAATCCCTGGAACTGCATCCTGCTCACAACAAAAACTGCCAAATGGATCTCTGGATATACCCTCGGGTAATTTAACATAGCTAATGAACATGACCATTTATAGTGAATTTTCCCATTAAACATGGTGATTTTCCATACTTATGTTAGTTTACCAGAGGGTATTTCTGGGAGAAATGAAGTTGGCAATGTCTTACTTGTACTAGCAATCATTAGTGACCATTAGTGATACTAGTGGCGTGGTGGCACGGATATGCGATGTGTGACTTTACAATACGATATACATCATACGCACACATGTTAGACGCAAATCACACAAAATCAACCTCAAATACCTCACTCAAATACATCACATGCCTCTGTCTCAAACAAACTTGAAGTCTCACCTAAACATACGAAAATCACAAACAAACCTCATCTTTGCTGGTAACAAATCCCCATATTCAATCATCCATTCCCAGTATTGATCGACCCGCCTGAGGCATGAACAATATCCCCCATCCTACATATACTGGTTGAATTGATTCCAATAATTTGACGTACCTATAGAAAATCCCATGTTTAATTCATAAATTATCATTTTTATCATCTATAAGTTTTAGCCATCTATACCGTTGCTATTGTTAAAAACAAACTAGAGGGTAAAAGTTACCTGAGGGTGACATATTAACATCCTATTATGTACATCCTATTACATCCTGCTACCCTAGGCATAACAATCATTAATGAATATTAATATTAATGAATAGAACACTATAATATCCTATAACACCCATTGTATTCATTACTACCCTAGGTATAACAATTCCTATGGGATTACATTCATTAATAGCCGGTTCTATTATTAAAAAAACTAGAGGGTAATAGGATCATCATATTTATCTATGTCAAATAATTTTCTATGTAATAGGATGTAATAGGATACCTATAGCCATCCCTATGAAGGTAATTATCTATAGGATACCTATTACATCTATTATCTATCGCCATTCCTATGGTTCCTTCATAGGGATGATTATCAATGTGTAATTACCTACCCTCTGGTAAACTAACATAACTATGGAAAATCACAATTTTTAATTGGTAGATCAACTATAAATGGTCATTTTCAATAGCTATGTTTGTTTACCAGAGGGTATGTATAGGAACGCTTCCTATAGCCATCCCTGTGAAGTTCCCTGGTCACCTGCGTGAGCACGGGAGATTCCACTTGGAGGAATCGTTCCTCGATCGAAACACGGAACCCATGGCGGGGACTGTGCCATGAAATCTCCTGCTTAGAGCCTGTAATTACTGTGAGTATACGTATTTATACGTATATATATACATATACATATATATATATACGTATATATATATATATACGTATATATATTTACACAATACATATATATATAGATACGATATAATATAGATACTATAATATATATATAATATAACAAATGTATGTATTTCAATAAAAAAATATACACACACAAACAGTAACATGAAAAGATAGTACACTAATATACAGTATGTAAACACACGCCATAGTAATAAACATGTAAATTGCGAGAACTGAATGCGTACAATAGCATGGTCAGCAAACAAAAAAACACAAGCCAATACAATATACATACATATACATCATGTTGAATATAATACACAATCATAAATTAAAACAAGATATATGATTTATATGACAAACTATGACATGCCCTAGTATGATACGACATGACATGGCATAGTATGATATATCAAATACATTATGGCATGACATGAAACAAATTGAAGCAAAGTACAAACATATACCAGGCCGATGTGGTCGGTCCAGAAAAAACAACAGAGCTGCCTATTACTTACCAAACTGCAAAGAATCGCACACATAGGCGTTGAACTGAACATGTAGTACCACTCTCAGTACATAGATTGTTTGGGCCACCGATAAGCCGTGCTTCTTTACATTACATGTTTCAGCGAAACTTTTGCCGGAACTGTTTTAGAAATTTCGGAAACATGATGTGTCCCAGGCCCATAAGCCCTAGCGACGCTACGTTAAACATGGCTCGCTTTGTAGTAAGCATCTCAACAAAGGGTGTCTTCATTTCCAGGCAAGTGGGCTATAACGCTGCTGGATGAACCCTACATACCCGACTTATGGGCTTGGAAGCCTCTGGCGTGAACCGCCAAGTAGCCCACAACAGGTTTAGGATATGTATCCCCTATGCTCCAGTCATGGAGCATTGACCAACATTTTTCCCCATCGCCCACATGTAAATATATTCAAATATAGCACGGCCATATTTGCAACTTCAACCCCATCTCAAAAGTACTGAATTGTGTACTCCTTGAAGTTCCGAGCTTTCTTCCAGTGACTCCCTCATACAAAGCAAAAAACAAACATATATATATATAAATCATAGATTAGTATTTATGGTTGTGGGTCAGAACCTTGATGCCCTGATGAACATCAAAATGGCTGGCAAATAGACTTGTATCACCCAAAAAACATGTACTTGGAGGTATTAATGCATAGCTCTGTATATATGCATACGTATATACTGTGTATATATATATATATGTGTGTGTGTATGTATGTACAGTATGTATGTATGTCTGTATGTCTGTCTGTCTGTCTGTCTGTCTGTATGTACGTACGTACGTATGTATGTATGTATGTATGTATATATGCTACATATATATATATATATGAATATGGATATATATGTATATATATGTATATGTATGTATGTATGTATATGTATGTATATGTATGTATATATATATATATTTGTGGGCAAATCATTAATATGTCACTAGCCTGAAATATAAGGCTGCTTTGGGAGAGTTGTAACGTCGCGATGTGAGGTCGTGATCGAATTTGTCCAGATCCCATGGTACAAGAGGTTTATTGGGCTGATAGTAGGCTGATCCCCATGATATTAGCAAAATATCCTTAAGCATATACCAACCCATAGCCTTTTCTTTTATGTATCTACGGTATACTATATGTACGCATATTAAATATATATATAGATTATACATATGATATTATATGTATATATTATGTATAAGTATGTTATATACTATGTATATATGTATATAATGTAAATATATATATATATATATTATATCACATATATAATATATACTAATAACATTACATCCGGAAAAAAGCAAACACCTAGTACAGATCCCAAGCCTTCCCAGCCAAGGTTCTGCCAAGGCCAAGTAGGCCGAAGCCTTGCCGAAGGAGCAGCGTGAGAAGGACTCGGCCAAGTACCTGTCTGAGTCGTCACGGGGCAATGGGATAGATCTGTAAATCATATCTAGGAATATCATACGAATATGTAGGAATATACCCTCCGGTAATTTAACATAGCTATTGAAAATGGCCATAGAAATAGTTGATTTACCCATTAAAAAAATGTGATTTTCCATAGTTATGTTAGTTTACCAGAGGGTAAAAGGAATATCATGAATATAATACTGGTCCCCCTGAAAAATGATGGAGTTCGTCAGTTGGGGTTACTATTCCCAACTGAATGGACAAATAAAAATGACATATGGGATAATATCTTCTATAATAGGATATAGGATAATATACCTATAGGATACCTATAAGATCCCTATAATTATCCCATATACCTTTTATAGATGGGATAATATCTATGATACATGATATTAAAGGATGAAAAATGGGATAATATCTATATTCATATATGGGATAATATGGGATAATATAGGATATTATAGGATAATATATAGGCTATTAAAGGAAAATATATCACATCAATAAAAAAATATATAGTTTATAAAATGATGGTATCTGATATATCCTACAACATATGGGATAATATAATATACCTATAATAGATGAGATAATATCTATGATATAGGATATTAAAGGATAGTATTATTGGATAATATAGGATAATGTGGGATAATATATTCGCACAGAATCATGTATCTATATAGATGGGATAATGTCTATACTATAGGATATAATAGGGATATATAGGGATCATATGGGATGATATAAGATAACATACTGTGGGATAAATATAAAAGATGACATCCTATAATTTAATATGGGACAGTATAGCCTGGTTCTTCAATTTGTGACACTTTTGAGGTGGTTTTCAGTGACATCGATTTGGTGGTTGACACGGTCGCTTTGAAAAACCGGGTAAAGGATATGTTTGGATAATAACTAGCTGAAGATAGCTGATGATGTGTGATAATCTATGGGATATTTAATATATGAGATAACATTGGATCTTATACAATACTGTAATACGGATATATCTACCCAGAAAATTGGATACTATCTAACATGGCTAGGGTATGAGATAACATTGGATCTTATACAATACTGTAATACGGATATATCTACCCAGAAAATTGGATACTATCTAACATGGCTAGGGGTATGAATGTGGAATATATCTACCAAGAAAATGGTATGTGGAAAAAATGTGGGATAACAATGGACAACACTAATCATGAGATAACATGGCATAAAACGAGGATAATATGGCAATAGGAGAATGAATTGGCAGGGAACCCAAATGATAGATCACATGGGTTTTACCACTGGGATAAAATACCACTTGCAACTGGAGTTTCAGAAAAAAAGGATGCCATTCAGATTCCCTAAACCCCCAAGGTATCCGACCCAAAAATACAGCTTTCGCAAGCCCCGAGGGTTGATGGTCGCCTACAGCCTCAGCCTTTCATGGCGCCCTTCGGTGTTAGACATGGGAGAATATTCTGCAACCAGCTAGAATGCAAAGAGAGAGAGAGAGAGAGAGACAGAGGTGATATAATTATATATATAACTGTAATATACTGTAATTGTATATCATTGTGTAGATTATATTAGATTATATCATTATATAATATCACTAAAATGGAGACTCGACCAGCAAATATTTGGGGAGGTGGAACAATAGTTTCAATAGCGTAAAAAGGTGCATTCACATGCATTCACCAACTTTTCCCTCAAACATGGCTTTGTCTGAAAATGTTTGGTACCTCAAAATCCAATGGTTGAAATCGTCCCATGGTGAATCTTGGATACCTGTCCAAAAATCTAATTTTTAGCTGGTGAATGTACATTTTACCATTGAAATCACAAAAGATTAAAGTACTAGTTCGTATTGTATCTAAATATAGTACCAATAAATATAGTTAAAGTACCTATGATAATCTACGAATCTACTAACTATCCTTACTATAGTACTAGTTTGTATCTAATCAGTCGGACCCAGAAAAAAAATCATTACATCGCCCGCCTCGTCGAGGCCGACGCTCGCACCACAGCGCCTGAGGCCAAATGCTCCGTGAGAACGTCCTGAAAGACTTGCTCCATGTCCTCCGGAAATCGATGGAGATCTAGGACTCGACATGGGAAATAAAATCTGGGAGCTTTTGCAATGGGAAAGCCCCAATAGCTGGATGGTTTATGAAAATCCATCTATACTGTGTGTGTGTGTCTGTCGCTACATCACTGTAGTTGCAGCCAGGGGTGCCACCGATTTCCGATTCATTTGCGGTCACTAGAGTTCATTCCTCAAGTGTTTTTGTTTCCAACAATTCCTCTTATGTCATAGCCATGGTTGGCAGGGTTGGCATGCTATTGAGCGTTTGGTGTGCTGGGCCCACTGTTGTCATGTTTCAAAATGCAGCTCTGCTCTGGCTGTATGAATCAGAATGGTTCAAAGCAGCAGGGTGGTAGAAGACGGCGTACCTATTGTTCTCAAAGCAGGTTCAAAAATAGATGCAACAGGAGACAAGCCATGTAAACTCATGCTACAATACATATCATATAGGTATAGCAAAACCTTCAGCCAGACAGTTTCAGTAGATCCTTTACTCATGTCAGTAGCCGCCGAAGCCGTGGCCTGCTTGGCAGAGAAGAAGGTGACAGAACTCCGAGCAGCCCTTCTGCTGAACCAAAGGCACATACGAAATTGCCAGCAGCAATCTCGCAGAGAAGCTGCCTCGCTGCTCAAAGGCGGCCTTTCTTGCCACTCTGAGCGAAAAGTTTTGGCCGTCTATGCTTTGTCAAACTGGGATTTGAGTTTGGCTCTGCGAGCGGCACAGCGGCTGTCCCGATTGCCCCAATGTTCTGCAGCATTTCCAACATCAGATTTTGTCAGGGCTCTCTTTCGCAACCACAATTGGGAGGACTTTTTGATGTTACATGATGAAGGCTCAGCACTTTGGGGACCTGCCCGAAAGTTTGCACAGCAGTTCCTCCTGGAACACGATGCTTGGTGTTGGGTGAAGCGTCAAAACCTTTCTCAAGGCGTGGCACCATCAGCGGCAGATGTGTTTCATTACTATGAGAACAAGGCGCTTCAGGTGGAACCTTGTGGACAGCCTCGCCGCAGGACTGTTAACAAATGGGCTGCTCGTTGGCGGGCTCGGTGGGGTGTTCGCAGGGCATGCCTGCGGTCAGCTGACACAGTGGATCCCAGCATTTTGCGGGACAAGGCAAGAATGGGCAAAAAAGCCGGGTCGCTTTTTTGGAACCCTTTTTGGTTGAAAATGAAAGCATCCCTGGTTTCTGGGGCCGCTTTTTGGGACACAAATGGGTCGCTTTTCTAGGGCCCCAAAACATTGTACTTGAGCCATTTTTTAAAGTCTTGTTTGCCACTTTTTTGAGACCCGAATCTTCGTTTTGCCAGGTGAAGGCGTTCTGGAGATCCATTGCCTATGTGACCGAGAAATTTGGCCACCAGGAACTGGTTTGGATCAACTTTGATGAAACTTCTGTTCCTTGCTGTCCACCATGTCCGAAAGGTTGCGTGGTGAATGACTGGAAGTCTTACCCCGTGCCAGGGGGTCCACAAATGCCGGTCCCCAAAAGTCGGCGGAGGATCGCCTACACATACGGGGCCTTGCTTTGCAGTCATCCGGGCATTCAAGCGGTGCTGCCGCACTTCCTGGTTTGCAGCGAGAAGAGGCTTCCCCAGACTGTCGCCAAAGGTTTTGCAGCGCTGCCACCGACGAGGTTGCGGCTTCTTCGCAGAAAATCTTCTTGGGTGACAACAGATTGCATGATCCGAATTTTGGCAGATGTGAGAGGGGCGCTCCAGCCTTGGCTTCCAATGGTTAAACCAATACTCGTTTTGGACACAGCATCTCCTCATCTACCTAAAAGGTTGATGTCTTTTGCCAGAAGGAAAGGTTTTCAGCTTCTTTTTGTGCCAGCTTCCAGCACTGGCCTGCTACAGCCGCTAGACACCAGTGCTTTCAGTGCATTCAAGCATTGGATAAAAAGAAAAAACCAGCAGCTGCGGCGCACCGCCCAAGGCGGTGAACCGCAGCAGCTTGAGTTTCTGTGGCAACTGGGTCAAGCTCCTCGAGAATTTTTCGCCAGCAGACAATGGGCCCACGCTTTCGAAAGCGTTGGGTGCGGGCGAGATGTGACAAAGTTGCATTCCGCCTTGCGAAATTTCATGCAGAATCCAGTGTCCTTACCGCTTCCTGCCAAACCCACTCCGGCAGAGATGGCTCTCATTTGGCCTAAAAGGCGAAAGATGAGCTATGCGGATGCATGTTTGTTCTGATAACACCAAAGGTGTTGAAGTCCAGATCTGCTGTTGCAAAAAGGCAGATGCAACCGGAGAGCAGCAAGTGTGACACTGTGAGGGCCCATGGCCTTGAAGCTTCCAAGGTTTCATTTTAGGGGGCTGGAAATGTAGGCCCTGTATCAGTGATGGTTCCAAGCCGAGCTTGTCATAGTATAAACACTACAGGTTCACATAATATATATTTATAAACTGTTTCTTGATACTTTTACCAGAAAACTACCCAAACATCTTCACATGCAACGCAGATGGTACAGGAAATGCATCAGGGCAGCTGGGATGACCAATGGGTTCTGCAGCCTTTTTGCTACAAAAGCCTCAAGCGTTTGGAACCCACCGTGGTTCAGCTACTTCTCTTTTTACCATGTCGGATGATGCAGCTGCCACTGCACCAGCTGCCGCAGTGCCAGCTGGAGCTGCACCACTCACTCGTGGACAAGACCAGTTGCCAGCCTTACGCGCAGCAAGGGCCGTGCTGAAGCAGCAGCTGAAAGAATCGACCAAAGAGATTCGCAAGGAGGCAGGTGCCACTCCAATTCTCATTCTTGTGGGGGACATGAGCCCTGAGCTTGCCAGGGTTGATGCATGTCAACAAACGTTGGCCATGTGACTGCATGCGCCTGTCAATATCTTTCTTGCCAGGTTCGCCGCAGATCTCGTCTCATGAAAAAAGCCCAAGGCTTAACGACGGGTGACCTGGCTTGGCTCATTGCTCGCCGTGCAGCTGAGTGAGGTTACAGCATTCATGCTTCCGAAAAGGATGCGGTTGAGCTGCAGCAGAAATCGTCCTCATTTTCTTCAAAAGCAGAAGGTGAGCTATGCGGATGCATACGCCGAAGGCGTTGAAGTCAACATCCTTGCGCCTGTTTGAAAAAAGCCGCTTATTGGGTCATCAAAGTGACTGTTTGGAAAGCCAAGGGCGACATGTCAGGGAGTGTTACGTTCGAAAATGTGAGGCTTGGAGAGACAAATGTGAATTCAATCAAGGCATCAGGTTCAAAGGTTCCCATGTTGAATCCTTCGCCAATCCCAATTTCATGTGCCGAAATCACTTTGGGTGTTTTATCTTTTGCGGCCTCTGGCAAAGTCAGAATTCTCATGGCCATGCGGTTTGAGCTGATCAAATGTTCCGCCCTTGCCATTTTACCCTTGGTGTGGAGAACAGATTTTGGAGCCAAATCCTATAGACACGGAGCAAAATAAAGTTAAAACATTTCAAAATACTGTTAGGAGCTTGTTGAGCAAATCCCATAGGCACGGAGCCAAATAAGGTTAAGACATCTCAAAATACTGTTAGGAGCTTGTTGGGCAAATCCTATAGGCACGGAGCAAAATAAGGTTAAGAAAGTCCACATAATAAGAAAATGAATAGAATCATCTAATTCTTTTGATTGTGAATTTCCAGGTTCTTAACCTTATTTGCTCCAATTCCATTAGGATTGCAGTCCGGAAGTCTTCCCTGTATTTTTCGAATCCTTAACCTTATTTGCTTCACTTACATTGGGATTGCACTCTGGAAGTCTTACCCTTATTTCGCCACCCCTTACCCTGATTGCTCCATTTACATTAGGATTGCACCACGCAAATTGACACTCACCTCCCGGAGCCTCATCCTTATCATCTCATCACACAATTTTCAGCATATTGCCGGATGTGGCGGCAGCTCGGCTGCTGGCGGCTGTGGCGGCTGCTGCTGGCTATGGCGGCTGCTCGTGGATGCAGCGGCTGTGGCGGCTGCTGCTGGCTGTGGCGGTTGCTCGTGGATGCGGCGGCTGTGGTGGATGCGGCAGCTTGGTGGATGCGGGTTGCTATGGCAGAGGCCATCGGCTTCAGCGCCATCACCTGGAGGGAGGGTTCACATCATATTGGCACTTGTTGGCTAGATTTTCCTCCTAAGTTTGCAAGTAGATGAGATTTGGCATTGGGTTGTTGCGGCTGGCCGTGGCTAGGGCGCCTGCGTTTCTTTCGTTTGTGTCTTGTCCTCCTTGTGGTCTTTGTCCCTGTCTTCTTGTATCTCTCCCCTGTTTCTCCCCTCGTTTGTTTTCCTGCCATTGTCGCCCTGTGCAGGTGCCTACAGCGACCTCGAGCTCTACACGCAGCGGCCCCTTGGCTTGCTTGTGGTTGCTGCTTGCTGCTACTGCTGCTGGTGTTGCTGCTGCTGTCGCTGTTGTTTGTTGCTGGCCTGGCTGCTTCTGCTGGTTGCTGCTGCTGCTGCCGGTTGCTGTTGCTTCTGGTGGCTGTTGCTGCTGTTGTCTTCCTGTCGCTGTTGTTCTTGCTGCTTGTGATTGTTCTTGCTGTTGGTGTCGTTGTTGGTGCTGCTGTTGCCCCTTTTTGGTACTCTTTCTCTCTTTCTCTTGCTTTCTTTCGCCTTGTTTCCCTCTCTTCTGCTTGCCCTCTCTCTCTCCCTGTCCTGCTCGTTGTCTTTGTGGCTGTTTGTCTTGTCTGTTCTCTCTTCCTTGTTCTCTCCGTCTCTGTCTGTCTCTGTCTCTATACTCTCTGACCTTGACCTCTACTCCCTAGCCCGGCCAGCACTATCACTTCTGACTGCGCCAGACTGAAGTGACAGAATCAGTTTGACTCAAAGTATGACTCGCAGTATGAATGCAGTATGAATCAATGAATGAGATAAGCAGGTAAGAAATGGCGGAATGATGGCGGAATATTTGATCTACTTGAGCTGAGCTATGGTATGGTATATCTTACACATTGTCCAGTTGCAGCCGCATCGTCAGCCGCAGTTTTTTTTTGAGCAGCCTTGTAGAAAACAGCCCAGGAGTCACAACCTATATGGCAATCGATCTAAAGGTCCTTGCAAAGAGTTTTAATTGCGAAGACCGTTCATGTTATGCTGGAAACCCGTGCGAAAGTTTTTTTTCGCGTTCGCGAAAGTAACCTTTTTATCCGCGAAAGTGTTGCGAAAGTTGGACATTGTCCTCATTCTGTCACGGGCTGCCACCCACTGCCGCCCGGGGTCTGGCAGGAGAAGGGCACCGGAGAATTTCGGTTTGGTTCTGGTTCAGTTGCCTGTGTGGTGGCTTCATAGGTAGCAGCCGAGCTTCCAAAGGTGAGGCTTCGCGACAGCCAAACACCATGGTCCTGAAGCACATCCTTGCACCTGCCGCTGTCACTGCCTAATGATGCTTTTTGAAGTGTCAAGAAAGAAGCTCCACATGCAGCAGCCAAGTTTCCAAAAGGGAGGCTTTGCAAGAGCCAAACACCAAGGCCCCTGGTGTTCGCTTTTCCTTCGATGCGACCTCCGCTGATGGCCAGGGTCTGTGAAGAGGGATATTTCCGCGAACGGTCCGCGAAAGTTCTGCGACGGAGCGGGCGAAAGTCGAAGTCCATGTTGAAGGGGGTGGGTCAGTAAACCTTAAACCTTGCCAAAAACAAACCGAGTCAGCAACAATCTGTCCTGAGAAGGGATTCCGTGATGCTAGCTGCATGTTTAAAAGGCAATCAAGAAGCGATCCGTGATTCTCTGGCGTACTTTGGCAGGTGGTGAACGAATCTTCATAAGAGGCGTTGTTGCCCAACATGGGCTCCGCGAAAGATGAACGTGGAGTTTGCGAATTTTTCGCGAAAGTAACATGTTTATTCACGAAGAATGGCCGTGTGCGGATAAAATAAGTTTGATCAACAACCATATAACATATGCCAATGTGAATGCGTTTTTGAAGGCTGCTTTATTCTAATTCAATGGCATGAAGCGCCGGAGATTGCGGTCAAAGCAAAGGCCTCCCCCATGCTATGATGAAAAAAGAGAAAGTGAGGACGGTCATGTTCTACCACTTGCTGCGAGTGCAGCTGTTGCAGTTGGCGAGAGTCATGCATGTGAGGCGGGCCCTGCAGAAGCGGAATTTGTTGATGCTGCAAACGCAGCCCTTACTGAAGCTGTGGACAATGATGGGCATGAAAATGCAGATGCCGCTATTCGTTGGCAGTTGCTGAGTAAGTATAAGACTGTGCAAGGCTTGGTTGCAGCTGTGATTCGTGAGAAGAGCGATGAGGAGCTCCACAACATTTCAATCAACATCATCTTGGACGATATCCAGGCAAAAGCTTCCAACAAAATCAGCATGTCAGAACTTCTGGAGGAGAAAGACGAGTTTGTAGCGGCTACAATGTCCGCAGTTCCAAAAGAGCTCTCTCGACGATTGCTTCTTGCTGTGAACAAGCCACAGGCGCATGCCGGGCGACCAGCACAAATAGATTCACAATGTGTCCAAAAGACTTACCTGCTCACCTTCTCCAACCTGGATCCAAGCAATGCTCCCACCAGGGAAACCATCCTTGAGACCGTCTTGCAGGCATTTGGCGCTGCAGGCTATGGTTCGGATGTTTGCGTGACGCATGCCTGCGTCTTCCGGGAGACGCATGGCAGTGGACAGTGGCACTTCCATGTGCCGACAGCATTGTCGCACCCTTGTCGATGGGTTGGATGGAAAAAAGAGTTGTCGAAAGCTGGCTACATTGCTCATTTTGCCAACATGGCTATTGATGACCACAGCAAGCACAGAAAAATGCAATATGCCCATATGTTGCGGTACCTCTGGTTGCCATCTGACAAGAAGGGCCTGTCCGCCTTGGACAAAGATCCCTTGTTGTGGTGCAGTGGGGGCCGGAAGCATCCGCCTCTTCTAGATGCGATCAATGGGGTCTTGGACAGTACTGCAATTGAAGAGAAGGTGGCAGAGCGTTTTTTGCAGCGTTGGTCTGCGGGCAAGCGTGGGCCATGCAAATTCTCTGACTTGGAGTTATGGCCAATAGTGAAAGAACTTGGGCTCACTGCCGATGACCCTGTCCTGCTTGCTAAACTCCTTCAGCATGGGCGAAATTCCGGAAATGAAAGATTGCTGAACTACCTCTTCCGCACAAACAACACCATCAGAGAGAAGGTCGCCATGTGCTGCACACTAGAATCATGTGATCGCGTCATCGCAGATTCTCAGACAACTACGTGGAAGCGTGTCACTGCCGCCTTGGGGCGACAGTGTTGTTGTGACAGAACTTGGGCACCAGCAGCTCGCGAGATTCTCCGCAACAATAACATTGAGGAGGGGAAGCTTTGCCAACATTTGCGTCAGGCCCTCATGCTGGGCATGCAGAAGAAGGGAGATGCAGTATGCTTCACAGGTTCCGGAAACGAGGGCAAAAGCTTCATTTTGAAGCCATTGCGTGAAATTTTCCAGCGCGTGCCTTGGCTACCACTTTCACATCACATGGTTTCTGACCCTCACCGTTTCCCAATGATCATATTTTTTAAAAAGATCCACTTGCGGACAAGTTTCTGCCCCCCGGGGGGACTCAAGTACTATGCACATATTCGTTTATGCCCGAGACGAGTCCAGTAACTGGGAATTGATTCTTGTAACGGGATTTTCACGCCTTGGTACCATCGAGATCTATCAACCTGTAACTATGGGGACCAACAATACCCAACTCTTGCCATGCATTCTTAACATGGTAGACCTTATTTCCTTGTTTGTGGCCTCCCCTTTTTGGACGGCCAGACGTTGATGTGCCCTCCTCAGAGCAGCCGAGGTGTTCGCCTGTCCAGCTCGAGGGTCGTATCCTCTCTTAGATTTGCCGCAGTCCCAAGTGGTCATTTTAGATGATTGGAGACCTGACCATGGAGCCTTGGATGTCAGCAGTACCTTATTATGGTTGGAAAGTGCGACGCTACGCATCAATCGGCCATTGAACTTGTACAGTGGCCATTTGGATTTTCGACCGACACAACCCACTTTTCTCACATGTAACTGGCAATCGTTGTTTGTGCCGAAAGGGTGCTGGTCCGAGAGTGAGTTGCTGATGCTCCGGTCCAGACTGACCATTTACCGTTTCCAGCATAGAATCGAAAATTTGAAGGACATCCCGGCGTGTCCATGTTGCTTCACCATGTTCATACTCTCTGGAGGGAAAAATGTAGCAAAATTTCTTGCTGCAGGATTCCCGAGTGTCTAGCTGTGTGCTGACTGCACCTAATTAAATGTTAAAGGAGCCGCTGTCACTGGTCCATCCGTTTTGCATGTTTCTCCCGACAACATAGAAAGTACCCAGCCCCATTAAAAAACCCCTCGCCCCGAAATCAAAGTTGATTGTTTCATTGGACCTGGATCCGCGGCAGTGACGCTGTACTATATTTGGATGCCAGCAAGTCTCCACTTTGCGAAAAACAACATTGATTTAGAGGGGCATGGGGGAGGATGATGGTATGACTTCTTTCCCTCTGCCTCTGATTGCATTTCATTGCCTTTGTTTCTGCCGGTGCTTTCTGCATATATCTCTCCGCCTTGTTGCTTCCATTTCTGCAGCTCAGGTTTGTGGCCCACCGCAGACACTCGTGGGGGACAGAAAAAGGGCCTGATTCGGCAGCATGAGCCAGTGTCGTACTTGTGGCCCCTCCTTGTAAATGGATGATTGAGGGGTACCCTCAATTTGGAAAACCGTCCATATGGTGATTTAACTAACCAACATGGGCACTTAAGCAGAAAAAAATAACCTGTGGGACTGCAAACCGCGCGTGGGGGCGCTCATTCTGTTTTATGGTGTCAAATAAATACTGCGCGAAACACGATGTTTTTGTCATACAAGTGATTTGTGTGTTTTTGAAGTCAATACCACGGGCGTGTCGAATTTCATCGTTGCTGCAGTAAAACATCGATTCTTTCAAGATATATTCTGGTAGGTGGTTTCAATCCCTCTGAAAAATATTAGTCAGTTGGGATGATTATTCCCAGTATATGGAAAAATAAAAAATGTTCCAAACCACCAACCAGTATTGATCTTTTAGGTGAATTCACCAACAATTTCATTGCGATTTTAACGAAGACAAACATTTTTAGCAGCAAACAACTGGATTGAACCAACGCAAACCTGGCGAAAGCGGTGGGATTCAAGCCAGCAAGTGAACAAAAAACAGGGGCCACGAATTCATTGGACATCTTCATAGGTCTCTCTCTGATGGGCAACAATACATAAAATTCAATGAATTGAATCCTGGACGATCAATCTTAGATATAAACGTATATCAGCGATGTGGATTAAATTACATCCGTAAAGTTTGCCATTTATATAACCAACAACAAAATGCATCTGCAACCTGCAAACACAAGCATTAAAGCACCCCAAAAAGGACAGAAAAGTAGCATCCAACCCTAAAATAGTGGTAAATCATTGTTTCTGTATCTTTCTGTGTGTTTACTATGTATTATTTATATATATATTATACCAAATGAGTCTTTCTGAAAATAGGATACCCCAAATTCAATGGTTTACAACAGCATTTTCCCATATTTTCCCTATTCACATTACCACTTTATGGTTGTCCCCCATTTTTTGACACACCATCTTTCATATTGTTGGTTATGTGTACAAGGATATCAAATTCATCTCACCATCTTCGAATACTTCTTCTATATGGAAGTTTCCATAAATGACCGATCCATACCGATCCCCAAAATGTATGGATACTTGATTTCATGGAAAATCCTATTTCCAAAAACGGCAACACAGCTGATTTTGGGGCTACCCCCAGATCTTTTGTCACGGGGGTTGTCTGCTTCACCATGGCTGCCGCCTGGTCGAAAAAGTCGCAGCAGCCATCGTCGCCACGGCTGCTAAGCTCCGGATCTTTCCGCACCAACGTCCCGACGATCTCCTAGGGGTATCAAGGGGAGGATGTTTGGTTGGTACCTTGGGAAAAAAACGTCAATGATGTGGCCACACCGTGTGGTAAACCCAGGATTTTTTAGGGTAATGTTAATATATAATGGCATTTTTGGGGAACAAGGGTGATTTTAGGGCGAATACTTGTTAATAGTGGCTAATAAATGACAATAATGGTTAATCATGTGGCAATACCAACAATATGATTATTGTGGTTTATTGTAAGATATTGATGGGATACCGAATATGGAATAATTATGTGGTAATATATAATTGATTATTATGTGATAACTATGAAATTAACTTGATTAAAGCATCCCATTCAATAAAAAAACTACGATATACCCCCACTTGGTATGATGTACAATGATCCCCAGTCATGGTTGGTTATGGGATGGTTTACTATTGTATATTGAATAGAACTAGGCAACTACTTTGCCTCCGGGACTATAATAGATGGCCCGTTTAGTTTAATGATTTAGCTGTTTCACACGGTGATGTTCCATAATTAGCTATATTAAATTGCCGAAGAGTGGCATGAAGCAGATTGAGAATGGGTATATGCTTGGATTTCGGAATAGAACAACTGGTGATATCCCACATGTAGGGTTATGTCATATCACTGACCAACTGGAATGCACACCCAAATATATATATATATATAGAAATATGTATATATATATAAACATATCCATTTGGCCAACAAGAATGGCAATGGAATATGATATGATATAATGGACATATCTCATGGGATTATTGGAGTATCTAAGCAAATATGGACATATGATGACGATATATGATGATATATGGATATGTTCCAGGTCCCAAGATGAGGGATTGGCCCCAATTAATGGCCATTTGAGTCGGGAAATGATGGATTTTCTCAGCCTCCAGACATTGGAACAGGTCTGTTGGCACATCGGGAGGCAAAATTGCGCCCATGCAACAGCATTTTTGGGAATGATTTCGCGCCTCGCGTCGCTGTGCCTACAGATCTGCAAGGCTCCGACCAAGACGCACTCATGTATCTCATGTAGCGACGTTGATTTTCCAGCAGCTTCATGCCTGACTACACCTGGTTCTGGTCGCTTCTTGGCGGCATCTTCCGCTTTTGCTTGACCATGAACTCGTGTGAACAGCACCCAGCCGGTGAGGGTTAGACGTGGAAAATGTGTAAGCAAATGTGTAAGCAAATGTGTAATCAAATGTGTAAGCAAATGTGTAAGCAAATGTGTAAGCAAATGTGTAAGCAAATGTGTAAGCAAATGTGTAAGCATGTGTAAACCTTGGTAAACCCTCCAAGTCCAGTGTGTTAAGGCAATTTCGGCAATATCCCTCTCTACAAGGCCACACAAGTGGCACCTCCCGAACAAACACCTGGGTGACTTGTGTGACACCGTGGCCACCGTTTGACGGAGTACTAAATTGCAAAGTGGTTTATGACTCAGATATCATCTGTCCATCTATATATCTATCTATCTAGCTTTATATCTAATCTACCTATCTATTATCTATCTGTATTTGTATGTCTGTACGTCTGTATGTTTGCATGCAATGTCTGCATGCATGCATGAATGGCTGTCTGTCTCTGTCGGTGTCTGTTTCTTTCTGTCTCTGTCTGTGTGTATAAGATGATAAAACTACGTATATAAAACTGGGGTATACGGTATACTACAGTAACTACATCTAAATATATGAACTAAGTATGCTTATTACTGTAAACTTTCATAATTCAAGGAAATAAGGGAATTACACAGGCTTAGGATATTTGCAAACCAATTGTTTCGGATTGAAATCCAGTTTGAAAGGGTTTTGAGCAAATTGTATTGAATAAGGCAGACTCATTTTGTGAAGAATTTGGGTGACAAACTAGTAACTAGTAACTAGTAGATGTTCACAACGCAGGTGAAAATAAAGTATGCGCAGAAAAAACAGGAGCCATAAAGAAACAAATGCAGGCACCTAAAGAAATCATCCAAAGCAAATACTTACAACATCTTACAACAGCCCATTGGACTTGCTCCGCAGCAGCAGCTGTTGGTGTTGGGCATGAAAATGGAAATAATCTATACATTGTTTAATTCTTCAAGTCTGTTCGTTTTTGAAAATTTTGTTTAACCATGTTCATGCTTATTCTTCTTGGTCTTTCATTTTTACATGTATGATGTTTAAAATTATGTTGACATTTTTTGCAGACAGAAGCTTTGCCGCCTGCCGCAGGTGCCACTTTTGAGCATTGAAATTTGTAGCTCAACATTGCTTCCAACACTGGTTGGTGGTTTTAACCATCTTGAAACATATTAGTCAATGGGAAGGATTATCCCATATATTATGGAAAAAACATGTTTGAAACCACCAACCAGAACAATTTGAAAGCAATCTAAAAACCTAGACACTACGAATATGCATTGGATTTTTAAGGATATGTAATTTTTTCATGTGTTTCAATGTTTTCATTTTTATTATATATATATATATAACATTTCTTTCGAAAAAAACACTATTTTCTATTCTTGAAAAAGATTGATCATTTATACAAAAATATATGTTGTATTTTTACTTCATTTTTCCGTTTGTTTTTTTTCCTTTATGTTATTTTATTTTTATTTTTAGATTAGTTTTTTAATGCTCTTTTGTGTTCCTTATTTCCGCAGAAATTCCTTAAATTCAAGGGCTGGCCTTGAATTTGAGGAATTTTGACTTTTTTCCACGATTATTTTTCAAAAAAATGTTGAAATTCAATGTTTCTTTTTTAATCCTAATGGGTTTTGCTTTTTCCACGATGATTTTTAGAAAAGAAAAACACATGTGTTTGTTTAAATGTGTAGCGTATATTTGTAAATGTTTTTCAGATTGATGGAATCAATTCTTTTTGGCGACGATCCAAACACTGAAAAGTGGCGCCTACGGCGGGCCTTTTTTAAAGATTCATAGAAAGTATTTTGTTGAGCAGCCGGCGGCGTTTCTGCCTGCAAAAAAATAAAGCAAAAATTACATTGAAAAGATCGGTCAAGAAATGAAACACATAACACGAAATCGGGGCCGTGTCTCGAAATTAGTTGCGCAACCATTTTTCAGCCAAGGATCCCCGCACATTTGATTTGATGCATTTTGCATACTGCATGTACCTTATTTCCGGGGACAGACCTTGAATGCAACCCGCCAGCTTATTTACGAAAGTTAACACTTGTTACCCTCTGGTAAACTAACATAACTATGGAACATCACCATTTTTAATGGGTAAATCCCCTGCACTATAAATGGCAATTTTCAATAGCTATGTTAGTTTACCAGAGGGTACCTATGGTTGCCGTATGGTGATGGTTATTACCTCCCCATCTGTGCCAAGCTGCCAGCAATCCAAAGATGGGCCAGCGACTGTGAATGGTATCCTCAGCTAGACGGCATCAGCTAAAGATCCATGGGAAGTTACTGTAGCAGTTACCCTCTGGTTATTTAACATAGCCATGGAAAATGGCCCATTTATAGATGGTTTACCTATTAAAAATGGTGATGTTCCGTGGCTATGTTAAATAACCAGAGGGTAACTGTCATTACTCATGTTAACTGTTACTCATGCTAACTGTTAACTCATATGTTATCAGTTAACTGTTACATATTAAAATAAATTATTAGCAGTAATGTTAACAACATAAGGTTTCATGTTATTCATAGGGTTAGCATTTGGCAAATGAATGCAACATACTAGGGCTGTATTCCACAAAGGTAGCGAAATCTAGACTCAATGCATAGGATTTAGGATGAACTCCTCCAACTTCCCATCGTCAGAAAGCAAAGGCAGCACTTTCTCTTGGTCAGCATGTCCCTAGCTACATCTACTACGATTATGATTATGTTCCTTTCCACCCTTTTGGCACTTTTGGCATACCACCCGGTTGCCACCCCTGTGGCTGTATGAGCTACAATTGTGTGACCCCCAAAAAAAGGCAATGCCCTATTCACCTTCTGTCATCTCCAAACCTCCAATGGGTGGGAGTCTTGGGCGCTCAAATGAATATTGTGTTCATAGGGTAACAATTGGAATATGTATGATGGAAAAATGCCACTGATTCACTTTGACAAACACAGCCCGAAACTCAACCCATCCCCCCATTTTTCATGATCTTTCCACCAGGTTTCCCAATAAGACAAGGGAATCTGGTCCCACAAGGGAACGCTGCCGAACAAGGTATTCACCAGGGCAGTGCTTCGCTTCTCGTGGTTCATGAAAATCATCGCCAAATAGCCCAGGCAACCTGAAAATGGCTGTCCCGGACATTCATCCGTCAAACTTGGGATGGTTTTATGTAGCTTATTGATCTTATTTTGTTGGGTTTACCACATTCTATAAAATTCTACATATATGTATAATTATATATATATATTAATATAATTATATACATATCTATCTATCTTATAATACACATATATATAATTATATATATATATATATCAATTATATCATGACATATCGTGACTTATATTGGTACTGCACCCCTATACCACCAACATGATAGCTGTTGAAGAATCGCTGCATGACCTCAGTCCAGCCAAAAATCCCTGGCTAGCGGTATCATGGCTATCTGTTTCTACAGTTATGGCCCTTAACAGTTTTAAATTGGCTTATAATGATATAGAACAGTATACAGTTATATATAGAAGTTATAATTCCATTTATAACTGTTAGTTGGGCCATCACTGTATCTGTTTCTAGCAAAAAAAACAGTCCTTTCCCCCAAGAACACCCTCAGGAACCTGGCTGAGTCTTTGGCCGAACATCCATGGCCATGGACAGCAAAACATCACCATCCATTGCTCCACGGCAAGAAAAATCTAAGATCTGCTAAGACTTCGAAACATGTTTAAACAATCTTAACATTATTAAACATCAGTTTCATTCATGTCAATATATTAAACTAGTATTAAACAGTATTGATCATGATTAAACATGTTTAAACACTATTAAACTATACCAAACTATACCCATCACTTTCATCTCCAGGTGACACAAACCGATGTAACAATCCGTGGGCGTACGGCCCAGCGCCAGCAGCGGGTTCAGGAACTCGTGGTCCTCGGAGGGCCGCGCCAGAAAAACGAAGAGGAGCCTCCGCACCTGCAGATGCATCAGATGCTCCGGGTATTTTTTTTTTTTAACATGAAAAGTGGGATTTCACCCATATAAATCCCTATGAAAAGTGGGACTGAACCTAAAATTTCTAAATGACTATGAATGTTGATTTTAGTCGTTACCCTCTGGTAAACAAACAGTTTGCTATTGAAAATGGCCCAGTCAAAATAGTGGATTTACCCAGCTAGAAAATGGTGGATCTTTCCATCGTTTTGCGTATGTTTACCAGAGGGTAAACCTCCATTTTCCTATGGTTTTCCTATGGTTATACCACTATAATCCTAGTTTACCACTATAATGTTGGTTTGAGTCGTTAAATCCACAGGAAAAATCCTAGTTTACCACTATAGTCCTAGTTCTTCCCTGTTAAATCCCATGGAAAAAGAAATGTTTTTTACCCACCGAAGAAAAGCCGTGCCGTTACCCATCCGGTGTCATCAGCTCCATGGCCACAGGGTCAGGTTCCGGACTAAGGGGGGATGGTCATCCATCCCGTAGTCAACATCTGTATTTAATCCCATATGTATAATATATATATATATATGAATGTATATATGTATATATATATATATAAATATGTATGCGTATGTATATGATATTATGTATATAATATTTGTATAAACCTACATGACAAAAAACTACATGAAATCATGAGGTATGCAACCCACTTGCGAAGTCAGATGATGTCAAATGATGTCAGATGTACCACCAACTAGCTAGATATCTAGATACTCAATTTCCATCTCAATATTATTTCAACCGACTAGTGCTTTCCGAAGATGTGGCCATTTCAGCAAATGATATTCAATGGGAATTTCAGGATCCTGAAATGGAGGTACTGTACCATAGTACCATATAAGACCATATTTTATGGGGATGATCCCTTACATAGGCCTTATATAGGCCTTATATGGTAGGTACCTCCAATTTGGGTTCCTGACATGGCCATTGAGATATTCAAGAAACACGGCACTTTTAGGACACGTTCGGTGGTACCCCCTCAGTGATAAGTTGAACAAGTTAGTTGGTTTATAAATCCCATTAGCTATGGATAGACCTACTACAACCCCCCAACAGCTATAGTTGTTAGATCTTAATATATAACTAAATTTCTATAAATATCATTAAATATCTACTGTAAACCCGAACAGCTATGTCAGGGTTTTCGCCTCAGCCCAGTCGACACCATCTTCATAGCTTTCGCACTTGAGGTCCAGTTCACTCGCCTAGGTCGATTCTATATGATGGCTGAAGGATCTAACATGATTTAACCACTTGCAGTTATGGCCTGACATACCGGTTATAAGTACCTTTTTTGCCTATAGCCTAATTTATGGTTTATGTATAATCCCATTCAAACATAACCAGTTATAACTAATTTGAAAAGGCCACAACTGTGAATTATGTTATTATTATTATTTTTGTAATTTTAAATGAAGCATTTTATGGGGATATCATGGGGATACTGACGCAGTGAGGATATCATTTTTTGCATTTTGTTTCAACAATATGATTTAGGACTTGTTTCTGTGAGGTACCCTCTGGTAATTTACCATAGCTCTGGTACAAATGGCCCAGGAACTTAGCTGATTTACCTATCATCCGAACATAGTTACCTTCCATAGCAAGCTGGTAAATTACCAGAGGCTATCTCTCAATTTATCATGGTTTATCATCATTTGTCCCTAATAAAATGTCATAAACATATGACATCTTTGGGGAGATGGAGGTGTCCTAAAATGGGGGCACCCTCAAATCATCCAAACATAGACAATTTTTAGTATTGAAACCTGTTTGGGGGATCCACCGTTTTAGGAAACCTCCATATACCCATGTATGACCTGTTTGCGAACATATGATCCCTGTATTGTTTGGCTTTTCTTTCCCCGAACAAAATCACGCAGTTTTGCATGTAAATGTATTCTGGTTGGTGGTATACCTACCCCTCTGAAAAATATGAGTTCGTCAGTTGGTATTATGATATGGAAAGTCATAAAATTCCATGGTTCCAGTCACCACCAACCAGTATATGTTTAGTAAATGTGATAAAACTACAATAAACCAATGGTAAATACCATAGTTTTCCTCTTATCAATAGACATGAAACCAATGGTAAAACCTACGGACCTACTGTGGATCAACATGTTGGATCCCGAGTTTTCTCAACGGATCAGGCCGGGACAGTAAAACACACCATTCTTAATACCCATGACGGATCCATGATGCTGCTATATATGGTGCAATTCATATGGATTCCATCAATATATCCCATAAAAATGTTAGCATTAATATACCAGCACCATGGATCCGTCGTGGGATATAGGTAAATCATCACAAATCATCTATAACTAAATCAAACATTTGTTCCATAGCTATGTTAAATTACTGGAGGGTAACTCTTGACCCATACCAAGATCAGTTTTCTCCATGTCTGAATGCCATTGATATTAGCGAAGGTTGTGACTAACGTACCCATACAACTCTCTGAAATTCTGAAGTAATATATATCTGGGTAAATTATAATATTTCACTAACCTGAATTGTTGGGCCGGGATGATTCCCCGCAATCTAACTATGATTATAGTGAGGGAGAACAGGGTTCGGTCGCAACATAATTTACCCAGGTTCATCAGAAATTCCCATTAAACCCCATTAAATCCCATTAAATCCCATGAAATCCCCATTAAATCACCATTAAATCACCATAAAATCACCATTAAATCACCATTCTTCTACATGATTTTCAGATATTCCTGGAGTAGATTCGCTTCATCAGCTCGAAGTCAGACTCAAACCAACAGGGCCATGGGATTCAACATGATTCAACTAATCCTCCGGCGGTGTCACCGTTGTCACCGTTGTTTCAGGGGCCTATCCCATTCTCATATAATGTGGGTAAAAAGCATAGTTTTTAGCTGTTTACATCTGGTTTAGAAAATCCCAAAAAAAAACATAAATGGGTGGTGTATTACCCTCTGGTAAACTAACATAGCTATGGTAACATAGCTATGGAAAATCACTATTTCTAATGGGTAAATCCACTATAAATGGCAATTTTCAATAGCTATGTTAGTTTACCAGAGGGTAATTGTTTTATTACCAATGATGGCGGTTGACACCCCCATAGCTGATTACATCCCTGTGTCTGGCACGTCTCATGCCACCACATGGCCCGGCGTCCAAGGCGCGTGTTTCTCTGCCACCACCAGGCGCGGGTTTTCCGCCGCGTTGCTCAGGACGGTCCTGGTGGCGAAGCACATGGCTGCGGCCCACATAGCGACCGGTGCTCTGCTGCCCTGTTTTTGGGGAGTGGGATGTCGACCCCACTCCAAGAGGCTATATATGGGATATACATATTTTTTGGCTCTGGCTCATGGGTGCAACGAAGCTGCGGCCAAGCATGTGAATATTATATATATATGCATATATATATATTATACTATATAAATATATATATATATTGTATTATATAAATATATATATATATTGTATTATATATAATGCATATGGAGACAAAGCCTTGAACATTTGCCGCAAGAAACTTTGCACTAGCCCAACAGGTGAGAGCCAGGGGCCCGTTTTCATGGTTGTGGATACCGTATCCCACAAAAATTGGAAATCATATCTATATCACATAATAACATAATTTGAATATGGGTATTGAGGGGTATTGTTGCTGCTAATCAAATAATTGAATATGATTGAACTTAGACCGTGGATTTCACTTTCTAGAAACATCTAGATACCCTACACAAATAACATCATTCTTCGCTGTTTAATCTAAGGTAAAGTACCAACCCATTGTTGCCTAACATTGCGTTTTGAGGTTCTTGTACTTCTAGCTAATTTATGAGATATCATTGTTCACCTACCATTCACCAATAAAAGAACTTATTGTTCACTTTAAGCTCCTGTCATGCTGTTTATGGTCAATATAAAGAACTCATTGTGGACCTACCATTCACCGGCCACGATAAACGCTATGCAGCTTGGCGGCCACACGGGAAGCCATGCTGCTTTGAGCCAAAAGGAGGTCGTCGGAGTCATCGCCAAAAGGGGATACCCGGATACTTGGTGTCTCAAAAAATGGGGGATTTCATCGTGATTCAATGGTGATTTCAGTGGTTTTAATGGGATAAACATGGTGATTTACCATGTTTGGCAATGGGAAATCATCATGTTTATCGATCATCTACAAATGGACCTTCTATACCATAGCTATGTAACAAATGAACCAAAAAGGTACTAGTAATATATCCCATGACGGATCCATGGTGCTGGTATATCAATGCTAACATTTTTATGGGATATAAATGGGATATATTGATGGGATCCATATTAATTGCGCCATTTTTCTAGCACCATGGATCCAACAAGGGTATGGTTGTACCATGTTGTACCCGTTACAGTCATACCCTTGTTGTCATCAGCTCCGTGGGGAAATCCCGGAGATTTCCAGTGGAGCTGATGACACCTGGCCATGTAGGAACCGATTGATTGGAGGTACCTACCATATATTTTTGGCTCTGGCCAGGCCGAAATTTCAGGGAATATCCCCACAAAATATGGTCTTATATGGTACAGTACCTCCATTTTAGGATCCTGAAATTCCATTGATTAGCTATAGAAATTATTTTTCAACTATAGGCTAACGATTGGAGATACGGTGACCCTGCTGATCCTGCTGATCCTAAGTCCCCGAAGTGGCTTGTCCCATAAATGCAATATATGAATTACCAATGGCTAAACCTTGAACGGTCTTAGCCCCTCAGTAAAGATTAAATCTTTAGTCCCAAATCACCTTCCTCGACCCAGGCACACAGACCTATTCCAAAAAGATGCAATGGAGATCACACAGACACACACACAGACAAAAACACACACAAACACACATCGTGCGCAGGTCGCTTCACCCACCTGTGGACGCTCATTGGGATCGGCGCAGTGATAGATTTCTTTCTGTTGGGGAAGCATGTTTGCTTGGCAAAGTTTTCACTTTCGAAACTTTCCACACCAGGCTGCAAAGCGGACGTTTCCAATCAAACCCATCTGGGTCAAGAATCCAAATCAGAAAAAGCAAAACCACGATGAGAAGATTGGATGAAGGTTGGTGAATTGTCGTATAGCTTAAAGATCTGCATGTCTTGTGCTTAGTTCCATTGTCTACAATAAACACCTAGAGCTCTCATTGCCCACTTTTTATCCAGATTGTCGCCGATGCCAGTGCCAATTCGTCGTGGCGCAGCTTGCTAAATGCCTGAGATGTCAAAGACGGAAGCCGGAGGAACCCCACTTGCAAGAGCAAAACATGGGAACCTGACCGCGTGTATCTTTTTTTTGAAAGGAAAGTCGGGCATGCTTTCAGGCAGCTAGACTTCAACGTGGCAAAAGAGGTGGCCATCTCGCAAAAAAAAAACGCATCTGCCAAAAATGGACAATCTTGTCTCTGCGCTCATTCGGACCCCTCTCAGAAGTTTGCGTGTGTTGACTCTGCCAATAAACCAAACATGTGGCAGCATGTGACAGATACTCGAACCGAGGTGCAAAAGCCATGTTCCAAGGTTGACTCGCAATTCCCACAATATAGCCTGCAGCCATCAAAAGTGGCGGGCCCAGTGCTTGGTCACCCAGTCGGTCTCTAATGGGCAACTGCGGTGAAAATCAGATGCATGGATGGATGAATCGATTGTCGAACAGCAACCTCTTCATGATATCGTGCGTGGACTTACAACGGGTGGCAACATAGCAACTGGCAATGGCCTTCAGGCCTTCACTGCCTGGAAGGTCCCATAAATAGTAGATGTTCATGAGCTTGGCTGCGGTTCCGAACCTGAGAAATGTTCAAAATTGGGGCAACTACCGTCTTACAATTTAGACTAATTTCCACACAAGGAATTACGTCATGCAAGCCGCAGGCCCAGCAGAAACGATCCGGCCAGAAAAAATATATATGCATCAAAACATGAGAATGTTTCAGTTTGGTTCGGATATTGTTTAACGCATTTCGGAAACCCACGAGTTTCGCAGATCCATCACTCAGGTCTGACCGGCCCATGATGAAAGAAACCGCTGCAAGCGCATATGTAGAACCTGGGACACAGCCATGCTGCACTTTGTGAGCTCTACGGAACCTCTACGGCACCTCTGCGGAACTTCTGCGGAACCTCTGCAGAACCTCTGCGGCACCTCTACAGAACCTCTCTGGCACCTCTATGGAACCTATGCAGAACCTCTACGGGTTTCCGCCGGAAACGTTGCATAACCTCGGATCTGTGGAAGCACCTCTGCGGCAGCGTGTGCAGAACCTCTGCCTGCGGAACCTCTGCAGAACCTCTGCTTGCGGGACCTCTGCAGAACCTCTGCGGAACCTCTACAGAACCTCTCCGCCACCTCTATGGAACCTATGCAGAACCTCTGGGGCGCCTCTACGGGTTTCCGCCGGAAAATCTGCATAACCTCGGATCTGTGGAAGCACTGCAGAACCTCTGCGGCAGCGTGCAGAACCTCTGCCTGCGGGACCTCTGCAGAACCTCTGCCTGCGGGACCTTTGTATAGAACCTCTGCGGAACCTCTGCAGAACCTCTGCGGCACCTCTACGGAACCTCTCCGGCACCTCTACGGAACCTATGCAGAACCTCTGCGGCACCTCTACGGATCCCCGCCGGATCTGCGGCAGCGTGTACAGAACCTCTGCATGCGGGACCTCTGCGGAACCAACCTCTACGGAACCTTTCCAGAGCCTATGCTGTACCGCGGAATGTGTGCGGAACCTGTACGGGACCTGTTGCCAACCTTTTCAGCACCTCCACAGAAACTCTGCCATTGCGCAACCTCTAAACCTGGAACCCCAGAAAGGCAGAACCTCTGCGGAACCTTCCCGCCACCTCCGCAATTATTGGCGGATCCGAACTCGTTACAGAATCTGCTCTCCATGGAACTTTGTTCGGCACTCCTACGCAACCTAAGTTCGCAGAACCAAAGACATCACGACAAGTGACAAGAAGCGGCAACTGGAATCAACGGGCTTGAATGTCGTTATAAATATAAAAATAAATATATTACAATTACATGCACATATTCACATACATATATAAAATATGTAAATACATGTATATGTATATATGCATATGTATATATATATATATATGTAAATGTATATGTGTATGTTTAAAAAAAAGTCTTAAAATACTTATATATTTATGATTTGTAATTATAATTCGAGAATCTTGTTTTTTATATTCACGTATATATATATATAATGTATATATATATGTATTTTTATAATATACAAAGATATACTATACAAAGAAACCCCCGAGGATAGATCTGGTTTCATTTATCTCCATTTTTTGCAATTTTAACTGTTCCGTTGTTTCTTGGCCCACTTGGATCTTAAGGAATCGCCACCGGGCTGCCAACAGGTCGCCGTGGCACGGTGGCAGGCCTGGATGGAGAACAGAACTTGCAAGCATAGACCAAATGCTCTTCTGCATAGATCATGCAGCTGCAATCCACTTCTGGGGTCCTTGGCGCTGTCGGGCGCTTTTTCGAACAGGACAGAGGCACGTTGGGCGCATTTCTTTCAAGTTCCCCTTGAAGTTCTGCATTTACACCCTGAACCAGTAGTGCTTGATGGGAAAGTTTAAGAATAAAACGTAGTAAACAAACTTCGCAAACTTGTACATTTGGAATTCAAAAATATGTTTCGAATTTTGATTAAAAAAAACCCAAGAAGCCGTAGGTAGAAAACCAAAACAATGGTCACCCTGGGGGGATCACAGGCACAGCCGCCTGCAGAGGATACCCAACCGAAAAAAACATAGGAAAAGGGTTGTTTCTGATTGCAAATCTTTATTAAGATAGAAAATGAAACTGATTTTTTTTTATGATCATTAAGTATCTCGATGCAGCCCCACTTTTGAGACACTCTAACTCTAATAAACTCGGAAAATTACCCCTTGCCAAATACAAGAAGGATTCTTTTACACGTACCCTCAGGATACCCTAGATACTGCAGTTTAGCCATTGGAGATTCCGATGTTTGCCGCGTCAATCATCAACTTTTAGGTGGTTTTCCAGTCTGCCAGACTTGATTTCAAAGTCCGCTGGTTCAATCCCAATTTCATCAGGTTCAAGCGCTACTCTTCTCGCTAACCTCTAATTTCTGCTGGTAAACTCGTGGTTAAATCGCAATCCATGATGGCCAGATCAGAAAGTGAGCTAGTTAAATCTCAATTATTTACTTGAACCCCTATATCTGGTGCTTACTTCCGAA